TGGTTTGTTGTCATCGCTCTCGTTGAAGTTGAAGGAAATGAGCCGACGTTGTGGGTAGCTGTTGTGACAAGAGGAGGGGGTTGATGGCGGAATCTACACGAGCGCTATGTAGACCGAGACCATCCGGAGTATTTGTTTTCTTATTATTTTTGAAGCCTGAATGTTACGGATAGGAGAAAGGCTCGGCTCGGCACGTTCACCTCTGGTTCTGCGGGGTGAGCCCTCGGCGGTGGATGAACCATACTCGCGGTCGCGTGAACAAATACACCCTATTCAAATATCTTTTTTACTCTTCAGCGTCAACTATAGCCACCTAATCACATTTCTTAAACATAGGGCTATCTAGTCACCGATAGTTTAAGAAACAAGGAAAGTGTTCACTCTTCTTGCTTCGGGGTTCATTCTTCGACAGCGAAGACCTTTGTCCTGTTGGGGTTACGTCTTCGTCTACGTTTTCTGAGCTGTTCATCCCATCAAGCGCAATGTTTACCATCTTTACCTTAGTACTCACGACTTTCAGACGTGTCTTTCTAGTGATAGCGCTCGGTCTGAAAAGAATGTCATGATCTCGTGCTTGCCGAATTAGTTGCAGTCTCAGCTTGATGGTGAACGGAGTATAAAGTTTCAAATAAAATGGGGGGGAAAATAAACAATCTGATTTTCCACTTATTTCTGAGAGTGAGCGTGGCCGAATGCCTGGTATCTCGAAGAAGTCAGTGCTTCTACACTAGCAGAAGGCCCCCCCCCCCCCCCCCTTAGTGTATACTGTCCCGAAAGGCGTCAAAACCACCAATTACTGGTTTTCCTTCAGTCGCTTCAACCAATACATATGGTGTAAGCGATATCACCTACAAATCGTCCTGCATTTTCAGTGGAAACAGAGCATCTGCCCCCTTTGGCCACTGAGACCCGTGGTCATTGGATCACTGTATCGGCTTTCCTTCTTCTGTATGCCAATCGGTTAAAAAAAAAACGATGATTGATCTTCCGAGTGCGCTAAGCTTCAGAAAGACACAGTTTGCAAAAACACAACATAAGCGTTAATTTTTTTTTGTTTTTTTTTTTTTTTTGCTGTTGTTATTTTTACTATTTAGGTTGGCGTCTGAAATGACTACTTTCCACTAGAATACAGCTTCGTTTCGTCTCGGGGTGGGTCGCAGAGGACGCTACAAAGGCATCCTCCCAGCCAATCCAGGGCCGTGAAACTATCACGTGATTCGGAGCCCTGCCCGAAGTTCACGTGACACTCATAAGGCATCGACTTCGGTAGCTCCAGGCGTCCTCCGCGGTTGAAACGACAGGAGTACATTAGTGTTAATAACAACCTTCCAATACAAAAAAAAAAAAAAAACTCGTAAATTAGTGGTTTGTGGTTATTGCGCCGCATTCTGTGCACCGCGTCCCTTGCCAAATTACAGAGCTTTGGTCCTTTCTGGGAGACAGCTTTCTCTTCATCCTTAGGGGCCGGGGGAGAGGGTTTCTTTTAAGACTCTCAGCGATCGTGTTTCCCCAGTACCACCTAGAAGAGAAGGCCTGCGCATGACGTCACTGTAAGTGGCTCCCCGAAGCGGCAAACACGCCGAAGCTTAGACGCAGCCGACGCTTCGAGCTAACAGGACCAATCAAGCAGCGTCGAAAACGCAGGTCGCTGGGCTTTTTTTTTTTTATGATTGGTTCAGCGATGATAGAACACGTACAGAAACATGACGAACACCATGACGGTGCGCTTTTGACAGTGTCTGATTGGTCTCGTCAGCTCGTGGCGGCGATTTCTTCGTAGTCCCCGATTTGCCTAAAATTTGGCAAACACATCAACAACACATCGTTCAAATATTAACCCAAACATTGGGCCACAATATATATATATCAGTGTGTCGAACCGAAAAAAATACGGGTTCGGTTATGGTTCAGGTTCAGGTAAATGTATTTTGTTCCGGTTCAGTTCCGGTTCGATTAATTCGATCCGCGAACCGGTTCTCGAACCGGTTCGGGGCGCTGAACCGGTTCGGGGCGCTGAACCGGTTCGCGAACCGGTTCGGAAATTATAAATGACAAATTGAAACATCAAAATAAATTACAAATAAAACATCTGAAATCAGCACATACGAAACGGGATACATCGTAGTGTAAGGCTCAGGGATTTCTACCAGGAATGGTTTCTTTATGTGCACTCAAAGGGTACCTCACCGACGTTTACGCATTCGGACTTCATCTAATTGGGTCCGACGCAGTAGCTGTAAAATCCGCGACCTCATTACAAACCCACTTACAATTAGAACTCGCTAACTATCCCGCCACCTCGGCGTGTAAGCAATTGAAGGAAACGTGGGGAGAAAATACAGCTTTCTTTATTTGAACTAGCCTCCGGTAACTCAAATTAGACCCTTAAAGAAGTTTTTATTAAACAAGATACAGAATATGAAAAACACTTCACCGAACGTAACGCCAGAGGGACGTAATAGGATAAATATTAAAATAGAAGAGTTCGCTGTCTCACAAATATGTTAGCTTCTAAGTGCCTATACGAAACCGGATGCATTATTATCAAACTGCACAGTCTTTTCTTTTCTCATTCCGATGGAAGCAAGCTTCAAGACTCGCGCGTTCTAGAGACGTGTTATGAAATGAGCACACAGCAGCATTTAGGATTTACGAGATTGTAGGAAAATGAAATCCCGTGACGCGATTTCTTTTTTTTTTTTTTTTTTGCACAGTTTTCCAATTTTTTTTTTTTTTTTCCGTGCAAGCCGCGACCAGCGCAATACTGGTTCCTATGTCAAGATTCATGCATGCAGCGTTTGTCAAGATTCATGGATGCAGCGTTTATATTCCTAAGACTGAGTGGAGAAGAAAAATATGTAAGCGAGGTGTGTGTCAGTTGACGGCACTTAAAAAACAAATGGCATTGATAGCACATTCATTGTTAACAGCGCGTGGCCGAACCGTTTTGACATGAGCGGGTAACCGTTATTCTTTTTCGGTTCAGTTCGGGTTCGGGTTCATCGCGATAACAATATAACGGTTCGGGTTCAGTTCCGGAAAAAATACCGGTTCGGTTCCGGTTTTCGGTTCGGTTCGGTTCATGGTTCGACACCCTGATATATATATATATATATATATATATATATATATATATATATATATATTCTTTATCGCGAAGTGGTTGAATTTACAATTTTGGCCTTCGCCGTGTTTTTCAAAGTGAAAGTGTCTGCAGGCAACAATGGAAAAGTGACGTCAGCGGAAGGCAGGGGTTCACTTTTTTTAACTGTAGACTTTCTTCCCAACCGATTACAGGCAGTTTATTGGTGTCAAAAAGAATGCTTCTGAAGCTCGCGCTCCGGCACCCGCGCAGCAACGCGAAAAACAAAAAAAAAGGCTCGGCGTAGTTTATATTTAAGACTACCCGCTCGACCTGTAAGCTATTCCTTCCACCGACGTCACGGCACTGAAAAGCGCGGGTATTTTAGGATGTTTGGTTTTCGGCATCATTTTCACTTGCCGATTCACAACGACTTTTCTTAGTCTCGCGATACTTGTCACCACGACTATTCTGAGTTTCGCGATACTAAATAGCATACCGAAAAGGGTTCAAGGCCGGTGATTGCGAATATATAATTAATTGGGGTAGCTAAAAAAAAAAAAAATCTCCGGAGTATTCCTTTAAAGGTGAAACGAAGTATAGAGTCACCGCAAAGAGCGTCCGTCTTGACGTCGCCGTTTGCTGGCGTAATGCTCGTTGGGAAACGGTGCCAGACGGGCTGGCTGGGATGCCCACGCTGGGACTTGCGTCCTGACTGATTGAAGACGTGGTTTCCAGCCATACGCCGATGTAGCGCTGGTGTCCAATACTTGCACCGCGCAGGCCCTCGGTGGTAGGTGAAGCATGAAATTCGGCACTCTACCGCCTTGCTATCCAGCTAGCGTCGGCGATGCTCGCGACCTCTCCCGATGCCCCTCAGGCCCGCCTATCGGGGTCCGACATCTTCGGACGTTCCTCGTCACCTAGTCCATTTTCGAGTCCTTCGACGTTATCGGCGGAAGTTGCCCCCGTAACCGTCTTCCTCTTCCCCCCTCTCCATCTCTGATGGACTGGATTTCGAGAGGTTCGGCGTGCGATGCGTGGCGTATGCCCGGAGACTGCTCTGCATCCTCGTTTGCCGGGTTCGTTCCGGATAGATGCCATTGGGAACTCATTCGACCTCGTCGTGCATTCGAATGCCCGTTTGCCGCTATGCCCGCCAGGCCGCGCCAATTTACACCTGCGCGGTCGGATGGACGCGAGCCCCTCGTTTTTCGTCTTCGGGTCTATTCCGTGGTGGCGTCTGCTTATGCCCGGAGTGTTATGCATCCTCGTTTGCCGGGTTCGTTGCAAATAGTTGTCATTCGGAATTCCTCCGAATGGCATACGCGACCTGATTGCTTTATACGTAATACAAGTTATCTGGTTGTTTTAGCGAAGTACCGAACTAATAGGTTGATTTATAAGGCCATAATTCCACTTGGCGAATAAGAAAATCAAGACTTTAGTATGTTGCAGGTTAAGAATAGCCGGACAAGCTCCTCTCGGAGTGCCCTCCACTCTTTCTACTTTAGCAGAGTGAGTGCAAAAGAAATCGCAAAATGAGTGGAGGAAAACACCACTATGGCATGCAATGAGCTTCGTAAGGGGCTCTTCCTAACCTGCAACAGACTATAGTTGCCCACACATTTCTGTTTGCCGACTTTTAGCGACCTTGCTCCCAAAATAACACATTTTCTGGTCAGTTGGCCATACTCAAGCAGCAGAAAGGTTGTGGACAAGATATGTCTGGCAATGACTAAGAACATATCTGCTTATTTTTGGCTCTGTTCCGGCAGGGCGAGCCCCAAGATGGTCCACTAGAGTGACATGTGAAACCGCTCGCGTATTGAAGTTGTCTAACCTTTCGTTTTGTTCTCTTTCCATCGCAGCTGTCGGGGTCTTGATGTGACGTCGTACGTCCGGACAGACCTTCGACATGGGCAACTCTCACTCCCAAGCCGTGCAAGAACGCCCAAGGGCAACATCTCTCATCAGCGCCAACCGCAAGGAGCAGAGCAACGGCTACCGAGCCGTCAAGAGACTCAACAAGTACGCCAGCCCTGGTAACAGGGTCCTTCCCCAGCCGGTGTTTGATGGTGTCCGCTTGCTCAGGACCACACAAAACGGAAACATCCTTCAGAACGGCGGGACCATCAGCGGTCGTAGGCTGGTCAGCAAGGATTCGGATGCCCAGGACAACCCCGACTTGGCCAAGATTCTCCAGCAGAGACGGTCCTTGTCCGACGCTGGAGACAGTGACATTGAGCCGGGACAGCTGAGTAGGAAAGCTCACAGCGATCCGGACTTGGCAAGAAGCGTTATGGACGATGATGATGACGACGACGAGGAAGAGGACGACGATGGCGTTACCGGTCGTAGCGTGATTGCCATCAGTCCGAGTAAGGCCAAGATAAAGTCGAGGAAGAAGGCCAAAGCTCCAGAACCGCCGCAACCACAGTCCAGCACCCTACCCAGGGATTTAGATCGGGTGCCTAACGGTCGGTCTAGAGAAGAGCCCAAGAAAGCCTTCTCCAAGTTTAAGGGGCGTCGTAGCGAGAGCAAGTCACCGGCACCAACGCCGCCGCCTCCGCCTCCACCCCCGGACTATAATTCGGACGACAATGGCGCCTTCAGGTCGGCCAGTAGTTACGAAAAGAACAGGAGGAATGTCGAGAAGTGGAAGCTTTCCAAGGGAGAACAGCCGAACGGGAAGATCGAAGACCCTGGGAATCGGAGGTCTGCTTCGTCGGCGGAGCCCCCTGCCAGGCAGGGTCCTTTGAGGTTAACCAAGGACCTCAAAGAAGAACTCCTTGCGGTTGCCAAGCGGAGAGCTTGCAACGGTCACAAAGCGGTCGAAGAAAATGGCCACGAAAATGGTCGAAGCGCGAAGACACCTCCTGTCTGCAACGGCGATGCCAAGAGTCCGAAGACGCAGCCTAAGAAGCAGTATTATTTTTCCAACTTCGACGCTTTGAAGCTAAAAGACGGCCTCGTTCAAAATGGAAACGCAAAGAAGAGTCAGGAGAAACCGTCAAAGGCGGACGAGTCCGTTCTTTCCTCAAGAAGCCTGGCAGCCATCGACGATCACTCTCAGGGAGAATCTAAAGTGATCGAGTACATCCTCAACGACTCAAGTCGAATGCAGAATCATATATTTCCAGTTGAACTGGAACCAGAACCATTTCATCGAGGAAACAGGAAGGCAGAAGACCGACAACGCAACAGGAGCCCAGTTCCGGCGTGGCCCAAGGCCCCGTGGCCCTTAGACAACCTCAGCGGCGGAGTTTCATCTTCAGCCAAATCCTCCCTCTCTAGCGGTTCCGATCAGGACCTCAACGTGAACATTCAACTAAGGCCAACTCTTCCAAGGAAACAGATGGATATACCTCGGTTTTCACCCACTGACGCCTGGAGGGCGCTATGGGCAACGGATAGTCCCCAGCTAAGGAGAAACGAGCGATTACGATCCGAAGCCAGTACCGACGACGGTGACGTTTTAGAAGAACAAATTAGAAGAGTCAGTCGAGTGATGGCTCCCAGAAGAGTCATGGCGGATCGGTGTGGAGACTCGGGCATCTCTCCCGATGCTGGAAGTCCGCTTTTTATACATGACGCGATTGACAACTCTGCCTTCGGTCCAGGAGCCGGCAGAAGATCGGAAGGCGTCGGCAGGGCCTCACCACCGGATGGCGTTCGAGACGACCACTGGGTTCCGAAGGCGGACCTCATGGACGATTCAGACTCGGGCAGCGTGGACCCAACTACCTCAGGTCTTCAGGAGAAGCACCAACCTGGCATGCTCGGTCTGCAGGCCAAATTTACTTTGCCGACTAATATGTTCCTCCCCTGGTCGACTCCGTCGACGACTTTAAGAACGGAGGACTCCTCTGACCTCAGCAGCAGACCGAGAGGCAGGCTTCGAAAGAGTCCCCGGTTGGCTTCTACCACGGAGAACTTCAACAGCTTACGAAACATTAGGAAAGCCCTCGGACTTCGGCCACGAGACGCTCAAGAGGAGATACGAGGCATCGATTCCAACTGGTCCCTCAGTCGAAGTGCCCCCAACTCATTGAACATAGTAGGCGAGTTGGAGCTGAGAAAGACTTTCGAGAAGTCTTCGGAGGAAGCCGTGACTCCAGAGGCGGAGGAAAAGCCCATAATCGCGCACTGGTCGGAGTCATCCAAGAACGATTCGGCCAGGCGGACGTCTTCGTTCACGTTCTCAAGGGAGGGTCACGTGATGTACCTCCCGCAGTACGAGGTGGTGCACACCAGTTCCAGCTCTAATCACAAGTCTTCGAAGAGCCACGCCTCCCGCTATGACCACAAAAAGAGCAAGAAGTTTTCTTACATGAGCACGGTGCGTAAAGAGGAACGTAAACGCCTCGAGGAACGGCTGGCCCAGGAAGTCGCCGAGAAGGAGCGACTCCGAGAGAAAGAAATCCGTTGGATGAATCGCGTCGAAGAAGAGTTCAGGAAACAGCGAGACAAGGAAAAACTGGACATACGTCAACAGCTTCGGATCCTGAGCCTCGAAACGAAGAAAACCTCCCGGCGGGACGCCGACCCCATTTTTAACGGCGACGAGGTGAACTGGAACGGCAACCACAAGAGCACGCCGAACGAAAACGGAAAATGGCTAAAGAGACGGGACTCCGACGGTCACATGAACGGAGATCACCGGAACTTCAGCCCTCCGCGCCCGGAGCCCGAAGGCGGCAGATCTTCGGGAGACGAGTGCCGGAATTCCCTCGAGAATTACAACCCCGCCGTCGCGAGGGAACCGGACCGAAAGAAACCCGTCAAAAAGAGCATCTACGATCAGCTGTCGCGCGTCCTGCACCAGGAAAACTTGCACAAGTGCAACGGCAAAGCGGAATCCAAAGGGGATCGTCGCTCACTCTCGCCGGCTTCGCAGGCGGGAAATCGGTCAACCCGGAACCGGAGTTCGAGCCCTTCGAGGCGACGAAGTTCGTCGTACGACGACCGGAGAGTCGACCATCCGATGAGCGTCTTCAGCAAGAAGGAGTCCTTGCAGAGGACGGGCAGCGGAAGGACCTACGAGTCCCACTCCAACTACATCTACAGCGTGCCCGACAAGAAGAAGAAGGACGTGCCAAAAGAAGGGAGGTACAGGTCGCTCGATGACTCGGACAGTATGAGCGACGAGATTTGTCGAGGAAAGCAGGGTGCCAGGGAAAGGAATTCGTCGGGGGATGTTGTGAGGAGGGCTCACTCCAAGCCGTTGCTAACGGTGCAGCCGTTTGGCGCCAGCAAGGGATACCGGCCCGTTCCGTTCAGTTTGACGCAGCAACATCAACCGAAGCCCAATAGGTAGCTTTAGGTGAGTTCAGCACTAAGTGACACAACCTATTTCTCTTTTTTTTTTTTTTTTTTTCGTGCAGCCTTGTGGAAGACCTTAACTCGAGTCTGGAATTAGGAAAAGCACACTCTAACAAAAGAACGTCTGTGAGTTCACTTCCCCGCAGAACACGGAGACAGGCAATCACGGCCAATAATAGGAGGTTCCCAGCAAATGACGAAGCTCAAAATACGAGTGGATTTAAAGAATGGGATATGCGCAGGGACAATGCCCATGACATGTCACAAGTGCCTCTCACTCCGCACACCACATTTATCAGGTCTAGGCGCATTCTGAGCTTGATCATTCACTATGAACCTTCTATTTTTAGCCGTGGTTTGTGCATTACGTGTTCCGCAGGTAAGTAAACTCAGTTGTTCTTTTAATGCAAAAAATGCATGCATGCAGTCCGGAGAATTCCCTAACACCACGCGTTATGGCAGGTACCTCCACAAACCTGTGTGATACTCACAAGGAAACAGAGGTAATGGTGCCTAAAGCCTCTGCGCCAAACGCCGTACTAGAATCACATATACACAAAAAAAAAAAGCACACACACGCACTGCACGCTCACGCCTTTTTAGAGCACGTATGTCCTCGAGTAATTGACACACTGTATATGGACGGGTAATGCCTGTCTGCTTTCCCGCAGTGCACACATAAGTACAGCCAATCATCATAGTTTAAAAAAAGTACCCAATGACGAGGTCCAGGAAATTATTCACCGTGGTAATGCGATCAGCGCAGATAGCATCTTCGCGTGAGGACGCTCCCTCTGTCCCATAAGTCGCCGAGTTCCTTCTGTCGATGGCGATGATTGGCTATCCGCGCGCTTCGTGGGAGAGTGGACGCGCAGAAACTGTTCCTATACGGTGTGTCTACTACTAGAGTAAATATAGTAATTAGGGCTATTCGAAGAAGCCAAACGAACAAAGAACAAGGTCTCAGACAACGTTTTGACCCAAGCATCTAAACGACGCTGGCCCACATGAACGTGACATTTTACATGTTTACTGTCGTGTGTGACGATAGCGCGGCGCTAAAATTTGTGACACATTTCGGAGTAGCTAAGTGCTTGCCTGGCTCGTCGACTAGCTCCGGTAACTATGCTTACAGCTTACCATGCCCAGCCATTGCGCTCGTAACTATAAAGTGTATAATTAAAAAAAAAAAAAAAATCTGCTGATATGAGTTTGAAAGCCGTTTCGCAAATCACTGAACGTTTAACCCGTTGAAACGTAGGGGAGTTGAAACGCACGTCGGGAAGCGAGCCTCTCTTTGTTCACGAGAACAAAGAGACGTTGCTTCCAACTTCGAACGTGCTTGAGGAGTATTTCCGCCAATAATCCTGTCATCGTGCCTGCAGAGACCGTTGCGTCTTTTGTATAACGTATGAGCAGTGGGACAGAAACACCCCGATAAACGCCGGTTCATTGTCGGACGCCAAAAAAATCCGACACCGAAAAACACCGAATCATGGGAATAAAAAAAAAAGTCTGGAAACATGGAATACTACACTTACGGTCGACACCGTAAGAGATAACGATGCTCCAGAAACACGTAAAATCGTTCATCATGTTTAAAAATAAAAAAATAAAAAGCAGAAACATAAAAGCGAGACGCAAGGTAATTGGTATCCGAAAGTCCACTAAGGCGTTAAACCTCAGTCAATCATCTCCAAGCACGAATTCAACGCGGACAAGGAAAGAGAGAACCATTGAAGGCAACGTGCGTGTTGCCAGGCCGCCATGATCAATGAGAACGCTGGCGTCGTTGCATAATACGCATCGCGTGCTTTGAGAAAAAAAAAAAAAAAATGCTGGTGCGCGCTAGCTCGGCATTACTTTCGATTCGAAAAAGAAAAAAAAAAGAAATGATATCACAAACAAGGGCAGCACCATACGAAAAAAATGCCGATTAAAGCCTCTGGGCGATGTTCGAGCAGTCGTGTAAACAACGACGAGTAATTGTCCGCCATTATGTTTCCCCGTTCGCCGGCTATGGACGATCGCTCCGCCGAACAAAGAAGGCAATTGTTCCAGATTCGTGACACCGATCCGAATGAGTCGGTCCGGTTTATAAACGAGCCTAATGGTTTCGGCGATTAGCTGCTAATAGTTCCTTCTAATTGCATTGATCGCTAGAATAGGGTTGGTGAACGAATTCGCCAGGCGTGCCGCCGGTCATTGGCCGATGGTGGTACCATGGTTCTGTCAGAAGCGCTCTACATCGCCTCTGCCTATCCGGAGAGCAAGTCGTCTGCCTCTTGCGCAGGAGTGGCGGTGACGTCAGAGCGACGCCAAGCTCTGATTGGCCTAGATGCCTTCAGGTCTACCCACTATTTTTTTTAAATCAGCCAATTAGAGCTCGGCGTCGTTCTGACGTCACCGCCACTCTTGCGCAAGCAGCAGACGATTCCAGACACAGCTGGAAGCTACAAGCTGATGGGACCAGACAGACAGGGGTCCATATCACAAGAGCGAATGACATTTTAGCGAACGGCAACATTTGAGCGAATGGTCGTTTTAGCGAATAACGGGGGCGCGCGTTAACCCATCCGTCGCGCTGCGCTTTACGCCGCTTCGCGGCGACAGTCTACAGCAACTCATTACAAAAATATGAACTCACTTGGCCCACCCGAAAACGCCGCTTCGCGGCGTCCGACTATTCGCTAAAGTGTCGTTCGATGAAACGTGGGCGTTCGCTAAAACGTCATTCGATCAAGTGAGTGCCTCCCGACAGACAGACGTCTAAAGCGAACCCTGTTTTGTCGGGTTTGTCGAGTGTTTGTCGAGTTTCTGTACGTGTACTATCATCGCTGAACCAATCACAAACAGAACACAAACAGAAAAGGCCTAGTGACTTGCACTTTTGACGCTGCTTGCTTGGTTCCATTACCTCGTAGCGTCTGCTGCGCCTGGACATAACCTGAAGCGAAGTACATACAAGAAGCATTTTTTGCGTGTCTGTTTTATCGTAGGTAAAAGCAAAAGGAAAAAAGAAGGTAGTCAGACATACTGCTATAGTAAGTTACAGCTCAAGAAGGTAGGGCGAGAGAAAGAAAGGCTGAGGAGGAAGAAGCAGGCGGAACGCTGGAGAGGAGAGGGGGGAAACCTCCTCCTCTCTCCAGCGTTCCGTCTGCTTCCTCCTCCTCGACCTTCCTTTCCCTCAGCCTACCTTCCAGAGTTGCAACGGACTATAGTACCCAATCACAGAGCCTAACACTCTTCGTCATACAAGATGAAAAGTGCAAGTCATGATGAGGTTAAGAAGAGTAAAAGCATGAAGACGCGTGTAAGAATTTCCAATTATCTGGAAGTGTGAGCTTATATAATAATAAGAAGAAAACAGTTATGTGACAACCGATTTTTTCCCCCACAAATTGCGCGGCTAAAGCTAGTTTTCGTCTTAGACAGAAATGTGCGCCGTGATCCTCGCGGTTTCATCAAACAGGGAAGCAGTGAGAGCGCTATATGGCACATTTTCTCCGTCGAGAAGCGCGCGGGCTTAGCTGCGCTACTCGCAAGGACAAAATTTTTCGGTTTTATTTGGTTCTTCCGATTCGAGCACATTCATCCTTCATAAGGTTTAGCCGATAGCCTGCCTGGCTTGCGTTGAATTCCGGCGCAGTTCCCCGCGTAACCGAGTGTCCTTGTTCTTTAAAAGCGCGTTCGATCGGTAGAATTCACAGAACCGCGTGACCAAACGATAATTATAAGTCCCATCCTTTTTTTTTTCCCCCCGACTATGTACACATTTCGTCCGTGTGCATTGTTTTTTCTTTCTCTTTCAGCAATTGTGAAGAGGGGACGGATGTAAATGTGACTGCTGGTGCCCGTGTTGTGAAGGCTTTTATGTGAGGTAAGAAACTGCGTGCCTAAAAGATACACTGAATGACAAAAAAAAAAAACGAAACCTAATATTTTTTTTTTTTTTCAAGGGTTTTGCGCATGCGTCATTATTCTTCACGCAGCGGCGAAAGTTCGAACTAGGGTTGGCGTCCGAAAGAGGAGTTGCGCTACCTCTCCTGCCTCTCTCCGCGAGTCGGGGAGGTGGCAGAAGTCGTACTTCCCTTTCAGACACCAAGCGTAGTTCGAGCTTTCGCCGCTTGGTGTCGTTAAGCTTAAAATGTATTATATATATATATATATATATATATATATATATATAAATTTTAGCGCGTTTTATTATGGTGCCGGAACGCGTCTCGGACTGGTTTGTTTACCGAATCTCAAAAAATGGTACCTCGATTTCCGCTTGATGACGTCATACAAGTGTCATTTCGCCGGCAGCGATCCTAGCGGCATCACAGCAGCGGTGGTGGGTCCGGCAGACGCCTGTTCTAGGCTTCTAGCTGCTGCAGGTCGCTCTGTAGCTTGACAGTCCAGGGAAGCTCTAGTGCTTTATTTCGAGAACTTCTAGGCACAACCGCCAGGATCGCAACATCCGACATCGGGCTTTTGTGACGTCATTTGTTGCCACTTCGGGACGCCTTCCGATGCTTGGACGGACTAAGATAGTAAACGCACAAGTTGGAGACGCGTTTTAGGCACCGTAGGTTTATAAATCTTTTATACCACTCGTCTCCTTCGAGTGGAACCATCTCCCAGCTCCAGTGTTTCGATTGTCGATTGTGATCTTTCAGGAAAGCGTTCATTTTTGATATTTGTTTTTCTCATTAAAAACTGGTAGCAGCGCGCAAAAAAAAGGCTCGAGGTACACCTAAGCACTTCTTACGAGTTGTGAATGCGAAAGCACGCACGCCGCTCTTCGCTCCCTTTTTTAATCTGCGACGTACAACGCGCTGACCTTGGGCGTGGAACTGGAGCCGCTGCCTCGCGGACACGCAGCGCCATCGGGTGAGCGATCGTTCAAACTGTCGTGTGCCTTGCGGCGCGAGGAAGGAACAGACAGCAACGTAGTTCCCAGCAGAACGAACCCCTTGGTTTATTCCATGCGCGTATATATTGCCACGCGCCATACAACCAAATCGGTGATCAGCGATAACAGTGCGAGTCAGAATGACACCACACAAACACGCGCAGTAGCCAATGGGAGCCTCGTCGACGCGCGCCAGCCAGTGGGACCGAAGTATAAAAAATGTCGTTGTGTCGCTTTGCGCGCGTTTTCATTAAGGTGCCGTTTCGCATGGTTTCAAAGCTGATGACGCCGGCTCGCTCCATGATACAGTTAATGCTTTCGCATTAATATACACATGCGAAGGGAGGAATGGACAGGACGAGCGTCGAACTTAAACGGAACGTTTAATGAAGAGAAAATACCGAGGTAAACAACCACACCGTCATAACATCACGTGCCATTTTTTTTTTTTTTTTTGTAAATACGCCGATGCTTGACTGACACAATTATCACCCTCCTTTCCTAACTCGTATGTCCAAAATGATGTCGAATTTCGGCTGACACATATGCGTGCGACACGGTGTAAACATTTTGGGGTTTTACGTGCCAAAACAACGGCGGGCATCTGGCACGCCCCAGCGGAGGACTGAGGATTAATTCGGACCACCTGGGGATCTTTTGACGTGCAACCGAAAGCTCGGTTACACGGCGTCTTCTCCGCAATAAGCCTCCGTCCTATTGCGGGCACCTCGGCCGGGATTCGAACCCGCCACATGGGCGGTGTAAAGGAACGTGCTCTCCAGTGGTAGACCGCAGCGAAAGTGCATGTTCGCGTGCTCGACCATTGACAGATCGGCCAGTCTGGCCAAACTGTCGGCTCGGTGAATATGGCTAGTTCCTCCCTTTGCATACTTTTTGCCCGCTGCTACCAGTTTGTAACCATGAACCAACTAGTCTGCATCGCTACATTGTTTTTCTCAGATGGATGTATTTTAAAATCATTGTTTCACCTCTCCCTCAAATTTAATTTAATCACTTATTGGCCAAGTGATACATGTAGTCGAACCTAGCTTGGAGCACTTGGTCACCCATCACTGCCACTAAACAATGAAAAATTCGGCAGACACACTGAAGACTGCTTGCGTGTAGGAATGCGAAAGCATTCCTACACGCAGCGCATTACTTCAAGAAGCGCGCCACGTCTTCCTTTTTCGCACGGCGTTCCGGCGGTGACATCACACTCACCCACAGCGCAGGCGCGGCGAACCCCGCCGCCTTCCGTGACGCAGCATCTGCGTTGCTGTGCTTTTCTGTCTTTTATTTCCGAGGCTCGTCCGCCCGTTGACCTTGAGCGGGGCGTGCTTGATGACGTATTTTTATGACCATCTTTCGGGCACAACGCCGACGCCTTTTCGCGTAAGGGGACAAGTAAGGCTTTCGCCTTAAAATTCTGCCCTTTCCCGCACTATCGTGGCTAAGGCAACACAGAATCTGTTATGTGCTGCTTCGCGGCGATGTTGCAGTTGCACTCTTGGTACGCATTTTTGCGCCTCGACGGAGCGAACATTAGGAAGTTTTCGTAGACCGCGTTTCCGCCTCCGCTAAGCCCTCCGCAACGAAGAAACCGTTAATGCGCTTGCGCGCCCATGGCCTTGACTGTAGAGTTCAGTCTATCGTAGCGGTTTGCGGAGGGCTTAGCGGAGGGGGAAACGCAATCTACGAAAACTCCCTATTCTCGTGTCTTTGAAAGAGCCCTGCTAAAGCTTAGCGCTTTAGCGGAACGCGAAGTTCGCGTTTGTTGCGGTTTCACAGCCCACCTTGGGGTTTCAAGGAGTGTTCAGTGACGTCTATTCGTGAATATGACTAATGCCTGGCGGCGATCTTCACTAATATTACCTCTGGAGATATCTGAAAGTTACAAAATTCATTATTGTAGTTTTTATGTAATGTTTCCGAAACTATAAAGGTAATTCAGCGTATGTGGTTGTTACTTGTTTAATTTGTCCAATGTACTTTTTTTTCTTTCCATCTTTCAGATTGATCTTCTAACCCTGGGCATGAAGAGGTGTCCGGCCGAAAGTCTATGGAAGAGAAGATCCTTTTTGAACTATTGAAATTGTCCTAAAGAGAACGCAAACTGCAGATCTAAACCTCACTTCTTTTTTTAAAATAAAATCAGGTCTGCAGTTTACTAACCATTCTAATGACAAAATAACTACCTTTTGCCTTTTGAAGATGAGTGTACATATTTTACAGAGTGCAATTTATAAAAGAAAAAAGATGATGAAAGTGCCTTATATAGAAAAAAAGAGAACCTTTGGAGCATACTCACTAATGGTGCCTTTGTAAACTATGTTAATAAGTCTGTCCAGGTTATTAACTCTCGACGAATGTGCTCACAACTCAAAATAAAAATAATAATATGCAGCAACTTTGTTGTTCTACCAATTCAATGTGATAACAAAAAAAAAAAAAACAATTCCTGTCAGCTTCAAACAGTAATGAAGTGTGCAGAAGTAAATTCAAACTTCGAATAGTATAACAGAAAAGTGACCAACAAAAGGTCCACTACAAACTTTCAAGAGAATTCTCTTGATTCGTAATGTTTGCTACACCTATCTTCACAGTTTGTTTCACCTCACTTCAAATGTGCAGTGTCATTGTGTGGTGTATGGTCTTATAGTGCCAAAAAAACCTAGCACATTTTGACAGTCTGCAAAATCTAAACTTTACTTCGTAAAAAAGAAGCTGTCACAGGAGTAGATGATTGGTACATACATATTACTGTGATGTCACGTCTACAAAACATTGTCGGATGAGACATTTTCTACACGTAAATTCGGCGACACAGTAGAACTACAACACACAAAATGTATAATAGCAGCTTGGAAATTCATGTCATGTATGTGATAGCACTATCCTTAAAAGCAATATAACAAACTAGATTGTGTAGAATAGGAAAACAAAAAAAGAAACATGGTCTCGTGACGGTGCAAAAGTTGCATCAAGTAAAAACAACATGGCACCTACCAGCTGCATAGACATTAAACATCACAACATGGAACATCTTACAAAGAAACAAGCAGCACACGTAAAGAATGGGACTTATGGCATAGTGAAGAGTGTATAGGTATATGAATAGAAAAAAAACTTAAAATTCTACTGGTAGAAAAAATTAGGAACAAAAGTATACTTATGTCACAAGTAATCATCAGGTGTAAAGGTGTAAAGAGTACAGGCAAAATGAATATGCAGGGTAAAAATCACAGCTCACTCAATACATTTGTTTGTGACTTCTAAATGCCTTCCAACTATCGGCTACCTTTCTTGATTTTATTTAGAAGCTGAACCTCCAAAAGTCGGGAACTTTCTTTTTTTTCAGGCCATACTCATTGCACCACGCTTGCCCTTCTCTGCTGGTGGCCACAAAAATCGACTGAGAAACAAAAAGTCAGAAAACACAACTTTAGAGAGACCAAAGTTAATGTAGTAGTAGTATATACGTTTACAGAAAGCAGGAGGTCCTACTACTCAATAGGAATAGTTTACTGCATCTAGATGCCGACAAAATGACTTAAAAGAGGCAGCACGGTCTTACAGTCCTTGACGATGATGTACTACAATAAATAGACTAATACCAGTTTGAAACTAGCTAACGCGACATTCACAGGAAACGAGCGCGAATGCGTCACCTTCCTCCAAGTCAAATGCCATTGGCAACAAAGCAATCAGTGGCAGTAATGCAACAGCTAAAATTTCAATTTCAACATCCACAAAATTTGTAAATTCTTTCTAAATCCGTTTTTTTTCTGGAATTTGTCAAGGGAGCATAAAAGTGACAAGAACATAAACTCATTCCCATTGACAGCAAAAGCATGTCAGACTTTGAAATCATACATAATTAGCCGATATCAACAATATTTTGATTTTCGACGTATTACACAGATTTATACCGTATTTTCCGGTTTATAAGTTGTAACACCCCATAAACGACCGTTTTCACAAGAAAGTTAGTACCGTATTTTCCGGACCATAGTTGGCACCCGGTGCATAGCCCACAGAGGCAAACTTGAGGCAAAAAATAAAAGTGTTTGCTTAGATAGCCCGCATTCGGTGCAGGATCCGCACGCCGTGCATAGTCCACACTTAGTGCCTAATCTGAACGTAAAAATTATCATACACAGCACACCTTGACAAATGCCTGTTGTATTAGCTCACAAAGAAGCTTGTATCATACGTAAATCAACATTAATACACTCCGCTATTCATAAAAAGCTTCACATCTTGTCACAGTCAACAACCTAGAAAAACCAAATCCTTCTATAGTTCGCAGATAGTCCACATCATTAAAATTTAAACTTTTAAATATGTATAGCCCGGAAAATACGGTGTATACTATAAAAACCCGAGCAAGCGCCCACTCAAAATTTGGAGATAATCATGTGAAACTGAGGAATGGGCACTCCTTGGGTCAACAATATGTAAAGATATCTCCTTTGTGTATTCTCCGAGCGTTACGAAACTGAGGGGTGGGGGCTTATTGTGGAACGGGCAGATGCTCGGTAGTTTACGGTAAGTCGCACCTTTGTATAAATTGCACTTTTTCTTTTCTTTGGTCGGCGCGACGAAACTGCATAGATAAGCCCACATATGCGTATTCTGATCCCGATACGTGCACAATCAGGAGCCGGTTCCAACATTCTCGTCAACAAATCTAACGAGAAATTTAACCCCCGCGGCAAATTTGCAGATTTATGGTCTAAAGCAAAAAAAAAAAATGCATACGAGTCGCACCATTGTGCGACTTTCTTAAAAAGAAAAATGCCACTTACACATCGGAAAATACGGTAAGTACGGTAAAATCAACACACAGAGATGGCACGACTGGTGAGATGGCCCTAAGGGACTGAGGAACACAAAATCGCTTTTGGTATTGTAAAACAGCGCCTCAAAAGCAGCACGGCGGGAAACGCGGATATTGCGGGCAAAACAATCTGGCCAAAGTCGTCGCCTTCACAGAAGTCCGGTTCTGCTCTAGTCCAGGGCTGCTTTCTTAGCGAACTCCGTGAGAGAGGACGACTCTGTGGGCTCGGTGGCCACAGGCTCAGTGGTGGTGAGTCGGCTGAATTCAATTTCTTCCTGGCTTGTGGTGCGATCTGCATTCAGAAGGTGACAAGGTTTGTGTCGACGTTGCGACAGATGCAGCCAAGGAACCGGGTAAGAGGTTTTGATTCACACTTCACTGTAAGACCCTTACTGTTTGCAAGCACTTAATTTTCGCAAAGCACTTAATTTTCGCAAATGACCCATAGACATACCTACCACCAAGCGGTGGAAAACGCGGCGCATACTAAAAAGTGGTAGTGGGATGAGGCATCAACGAGCGGCGAGCGTAGAAAGGTCCCAGATGTACGCAGCGGTGCCGCGGTCGTATACCGGCTCGAGGATCCGACCGGTTCCGAGCATTCCGAAGGCCTTCGGCCCAGGTTTGGCTGGCGATTTGGCCGTTCGACGGTATGGCAGCGCGAAGTGGCTCCCGCTCTGAACTGATCTTTACTCTGTGTTTGCTGTCGCTTGTGGCCAGTGAGGTGTCATGCCAAATTAGTCTTAAATCGCGCAGAAAATGCAATGCGAGCTGCCCTGGCCGCCCACTTCCTACAGCCTATCCACACACGCTTTAGTGGCGACCTCTTGAGCCGGCGATACGGAGTGCGGCAGCCGTGAGCGCTCGCTGAGCTCACTACCCCTCCTCTAGTTCATGGCCACTTATGCAACCAACGACGTCATGAAGGAGGTTATTTTTTGCTTGTTTTTGTAATTTTAATTCGCCTATAACTTTTAAAATAAAGCGAAATTCGAGAAAAGAAAAGTTTCATTAAGTTACTACGTTCAGTGCGCTCAGGTTCGCTGCAAACTAAAAACCAGTCAAAAAGTTGTTGCAGGGCCCCTTTAAGAGTTTCAATGCAGGTGTCTGGAATTCCCGAAATTTAGCGGCCACAATTATGCCCTCTGTGACCGATTCGCGAAAAATAGGGGCCGCGAAAACAAAGGGTTTTACAGCATACAGTGATGCCTCGTTTATATGGACACCTCCGTTTCCCTCCACAAAAAAGGGTCCCATAATGTGAGTTGTCCGTAGTTATAAGATAAAAATGCATGCATTTATTCAGTTCGTCCCCAAAATGTTGTTCATACAGTAGGATATCCACGTTAACATGGTCTGTACTAACAAGACATGATGGCAGTGGGAGGAGAATCCAGATATTCCAAAGATGTTTCTTTGCAATATCTACATTCCAAAGAATTGGATATCTAGAATATCTAGAACTCGACTTTCAACTCAAATTTAACAATGAGTATAAGAAGACTGTGCCCTCCCATCAAACAATGAGGAACAATAATAAAGTCCCTCATTGTTTAATAAAAGTGTTATGTTGATTTGCATAGGATGGCATAAACAGAGCACCTAGCCATCAAATGAACCAGCAAAATCAGTGCCGGTAAATAAAGAGGCTGAATTTCCATTGAGGATACAGTTTCGTGACGAATTTCACCTGGCGAAATTTCGAGACTTGGCTCTGTTCCTGCGAAAATTTAGACCTTGACGTCTCTAACGGTGGGCACCAACGCAAACAACCGAGTTGCCCGCGGGTGGTGCTTGCGGCGCCATCTCTCGATAGGTGCAGCAAGCACTTAGTCGAAAGTAGAAGGTGCTTTCGTTAGATTGTTGCACCGTCAGAAGATGGCGCCACAAACCTGGCTCTCGGCTGTCTCAGCTGACAGGCTATCTCCGTCAAAGCCCATTGCTGAAGAGGCCAGCCATGCTGTTCTAGTTAACTCTTTTTGTGAAGCTCATTATAATTTTGAAATTACAGCCAATGTTAGTCACAGGTTAATTTTTATACCCGTTTTCTTCACTTAATCAGTGGCGTGCTGTATGAGCTTTTACACCCCAGAACTTACGGACAACAATCAGCATGAAGTGTGGATGTCACCAAAGCCTGAGATAATTGTTTAACTGTTTAAAAATATGACCTATGAAACTGCAAAAAAATGACAGTACCAATAGTCAGTCTTTCAGCACAAGGTTACATTCTGCTTTACTCTATCCTTACCACACCTATTCAAATCAAGCAATTTGATGGATAGATTTCACACCACCACTTCAATGCGTTCAGCATCGTTTTTAGACACGTGGCACCACCTAGGATTTTACAGAGGAACTCTACTTTGAGTTTCGGATCTTGTTTTTCTGTGAGGGGCGGTTTTTGATGTGACTTTGAAGTTAAGCTTTAGGCTTTAAAATGCATTCAGTGTTGTGTCTAGACATGTGGCGCCATCTAGGATGTTACAAAGATACTACTCCACTTTGAGTTTCGGTTTAAATTTTGCTTTTCTGCGGGGGTCAATTTTTGATGTGCTTTAAAGTTCCAGGACCATAGAGCACCAATCACGGCGTCCGCGTTGCATGCCGGCGCTCCTCAAAACCATTACCTGACTCGCAATTCTGGTGCACATGAAATCAATTTTGTCTACGAAAGTGACAGCAGTGAGCCAGAAGATGATGTTCATTCGCAAGAATTTTTGCTTCGACAGTAGCAGTGGGTCAAACTGGCCTGGACTATACACAGGTGCTTGTCGATATGTTTTGTTTTGCACTCCAAGCACATTTATTGCATCCGCGAGCTCCTGCGGATATACCGGCACATTCTGAACACAATTGATTTCATATGCAGGGTGCAAACTTCATATAAAGATGATTTTATGATAAACTATAGTTCATTTATGCAAAAATGTATGGAAAGTTTATTTATGCAGAAAGTAATGCGCAACTAGTACAGTTTTCTTCGAAAAGGCGGACTGGTCCCCGACATGGGCACAACACTAAGGATTAGTGTGAAATGCTCTAGAAGGGGCTTCACAGTATAGTATAGTCTAGAGTCACTGAATGTTCCCAAGGTACCGAAACTCCCAAGCTTTGTTTCAGAACCGAGTCGAGGTACAGCAGTTGTGCTCCAACCCATCCCCAATATGGCGCTGCCCTGTGCGGTCAAATCAAAGCTCGTACAGTGTAGCGTTCATTCTTGTAAAAGCTCTTGAATCCACTTTTCTCGTCTGTGGCGACGCTGGTTTGTTTTTATTAAAGTTTTTTTCTTCCTTCCCAGTAGAGCGTGACTTGCTCCTGACTGTCCCGTCTCTCTCTCTCGCCTTGAAACACATTGAAGTTGAGTGTTAGGCTTAGCGTACAAGGCGTAGAGTTTGAAACACAGCCCCAGCACAACCGGAGCGAGAAAATGAACCAACAATCTTCTTTGGCGAGCCCGATTAGCGGCTACTTGATATAAAAGAAACTAGAAAAAATCAATGCACCTTTTGTTTGGTCCTAACTTAAGGATACTAAGAGCTTCCACCCGTGTGTACCCGCCGTACCCGAGGTAATGCGGAAACATTTTATATATGTTTTTTGCTGTTTTGGGCCCATCCCCAAAATGGCCAACCGATAACTTCCGCCACAGGCTAAACCAGCCAATCAGAAGTGGGTTTTGCGGGATTAACTTCCGGTAAGCAGTCTGAATGAAATTCGGTACTCTGGGTACATTCAGTGATTCTAGTATAGGTGGTCATCACGGGGGCTAACATTTTTGTTTTTCTGCAAAAACAAAAAGTTTTGCACGGGGGCTTTTCAAACTTGCAGGATTTGTTTCTAAAAAAGAGGTGTACAAAATGCATAGTTTTAAATTTTTTTACTCCAAACCTTTCGCAAGGCACACTGAATTGAAATAAAAGCTTTCATGTTGGTTACACAAAATCTGACTTCAATCGTTTCTCATGCTATATAATAAAGATCTTGTTTGACATTTATACTGCTGAATAAAATATTTATTTAGCTATGTTTTAATATGCTTTGGTACACCTAAAAGCTAGTAGCATAATTTGCGGCTAAACAATTTTTTGACCGAGACCACCCCATAACTGCCTTTTTTCCTGCAATAAGGAAAGAGTTAACGGGGAGCACAAACCTTAGTTGTCCAAGTTTGCTTCACGCATTTGCACGTCCCACACCACATTATAATAGTCTGACTTAAGGTATCCTTCTAGTCACACGAATGAAACAGAAGTTGCTGCATCATGCACCAGGTTTCTACAACCAGAGGGACAATTCGAGACTCAGATCAGACATGGTTCCACTTCGCTGCACTTACAAATCGAGCGGAGTGTTGCCGGGAGGCGCGTGTGACTGAAGTCCGACTCACCAGATGGTGACGGGTAGAACTTGTGTGAGGGTGCATAGAGAACAAGGAGCATGAAGACGTAGAGGTTCCACATGCCGTAGACGCCCGTGAAGAAGGCCGACGTGAACTCCAGCTGGATGTCCTCGTCCCACTTCCAGCGGCCCTCGCTCACCTTTGCCGAAAAAGCGGTGGGGCAACGTGGTGCAGAAAACGTCGGGTTTAGGCAACTTTTAATGATGGAGTTTAATTATGGGGAAACTCGTTCATTACGAGTCTCCTGTATAATGAGTGCGCCGTGCGCCAACAACTGAAAAGAAGCACCACTTTTAGGGACCGGTTCAGACATCTGCGTTTGAGTATGATTGACTGCGCCGTAACTCCTTACATTTAGCTTCAATGTGTTACACAGACTCCAATTGCCGTAGCAACCATCTCAACAATGCAAATGTTTGAATCGGCCTTAAGGGCAAAATTTAAAAGGGAAACAAAATCTGCAGACGATGTGAAACGGCTAACACCCGTCACGTCGCAGTTTCTGTCTTGAGACAGTACACCGATGCCTTAACCAAGTTTAGAACATCCAAGGAAGGCAGCTACCAGATTGAGTTCTATGACATTTAAGTAAGTAAACAATTCAATAGGTACACTCAAACCCGTTTATAACGAACAGCAGGAAACGCTACGATCAGTTCGATATACACTCCGTGCGGGAACTATAGGGGGCGCTTTGAAAAACGCGCGCAGCGCCGCTAGCGGAGGAGCTGGCGTTCAACCGTGAGGCGCGTTCAGCAGCCTGCGGCGCCTTTTTGCATGCCAAGCTGTGGCGGCGGAAGCCCGCACGGATGGAACTTTTGCTTTTTGAGCCGATAAGTTGAGGGTGACGTTGCATGAGTGCTGGGGCAGACCTAAGAAGGGCATTTAGCTGTTCTCCACTTCTTATATATTGAGTTTGAGTCGTTAATAGGGGTAATTTCTCTAGTTGCGGCCAAAAAAGGAGTTGGAGCAATTTTCTGAAAAGCAAGACGGCCGCCACCATAATTGCTTTGAGTGGGAAATTTATTTTGCTCGTCGCTGTAAACCTAGGACTGCTGGAACGATGATATTTGGAGGCGAGTGAGATGTACACTAAGTTTCTGCACGAAGTGTGTGAAAGTTGTTTCTAACGAATAAAGAAATAAAGCTGTACGGTATATCCAATATTGGACCCAAAATGTTGTGTTATAGCGGGCTGTGCAAAAGTGCAGATTTGGGCACACAGGTGCTTGGACTTGACAGTAACATGACACAGCACTTATTATACAAGAAAAAAAAAAAAGGTAGCATAGGGAAACCAGGTGAACATTTGTTTTGGGCGGCGTAACTCAATGGGAACCGGTTTTGACCATGAAAAGGCTGTCAAGATAATACCACTGGTCGGGGGAGGTGGAGACTTTAGAGGTAGGAAGGGACTAGTGGACTGTACTTCCAATTGAAACAACTTTACGAAAGGTGGTTCCAAAGCCGAGAAAACAAAGTTGTCGGCCAACACACGGTTTGGCCGCCAAGGACTTTTGCGGTCAGCTATTGTGTAATAACCTGTTGTGCGAGGTGCTGATTTTTGGCCCACAGGTACTTTGACATGACCGTCACTTGGCATAACATTTATTATAACAAAAATAGTTGGCATAGCGAAACCAGGTGGAAATTTAGTTTGGGCGGCGTAACTCAATGGGAACTGGCTTTGACCGTCAAAGGCTGTCAGAAAATACCACTCATCGTGGGAGGTGCACATTTTACAGGTAGGAAGGGACCAGTGGACGGTACTTCCAGTTCGAACCACTTTGCGATAGGTGGCTCTAAAGCTGAGAAAAAAAATTGTTGTCTACAGAACTCGGGGTGTCAGTGTTTCCACGTCCAAAAGGAGGCTGATCAAGAAAGAAAGCACACCACATAAACTTCCATACGCAAACGCCGATTCTCCAGTGATTCCGAGTTTCATGGTTGTTTTCTTTAGATTTATAGTTGTCACTTTTTTTACCGTTCGAATCTTTCTTCATGAAGTACAGATTGCGTGCCATATTTGTCCGGAATTATCATCAAAAAACTTTTTTGGAGGGCATTCCTCCAACGAAATTGGCACTGCATACCCGCGAGTGTGGGATGGCATTTCAGTTCGTCCCATCGGCGCTGACACATGTAGGCGTTACTGGTACGAAAACAAACGCAGAGCGCAAAGCGGCAGTGTAGAATATGTCAGCCGTGTCGACACAGTGGCAGACATGATCGGGACACCAAATTTCTCGCGTCGTATGGCACGGCTCCATCGTTGTCGCTGTCCCACAAAACATCGGCGAGGTGAAAAACTGTGAAACTTTGTCTCCACGAGATACGACGCATAACTATTGAAGCACTTAATGACGCAGCACAGGCTGCGTCATTAAGCTGTGAACCCAGCGCAACAGCACCACTCCGACTTCAACGCATACCAACGTACGCCGGCGTGGTTTCGGTTCGTTTTCTCTGGGGTGCTCACTGCCTACCTTCAATACCGGCCGCGCGGCGGCGCGCCAGTCGCGTCGCACGGAGTGTATAGCAGAAACTATTTATCGCGAACTTCCAAGATGCATTCGTTGTAAGACGAGAGCCTTCTCTTTCTTTTTCATCTCTTCGCTTCCACCTTGTAGCAATGCGCTAAAAAGTTTTTTTTTTTTTTTTTTTTGTTTTGCATGCGTGCAGGTTTGTGTTTTCAGCTTATCTCTCCTTCTGAATCACTTCTCTTCGTGGGCAACGGCTTTGGGATAAAAAGTTTATTTTTTTTTCTGGGCATGCGTGCAGAGTATAATTTTTTTAGCTTTCTCCCCTTCTGAATCGCTTCTCTTCACTCAATTTTGTTCGCAATTGAGCTTTTTGAATTTTTTTTTTTCTTTTCTATTTTTTTTTGGGGGGGGGGGGGGGGGGACAGGCTAGAAATTGAATATTTGCGCGCTTTTGGAAGCCTTCTCGTGGGGAAAAAGTTAGATACTATAGCCAATATGTTGTTTGTTATACATAGTACTTTTTACATGCATTTTTATTTAAATTTTCTGTGAGTTCGATATCGACAATAATTCGCTGTACGTGGGTTCGTTCTAAACGAGTTTCACTGTACAACAGTGCCACCAATGAGCGAACCAACACTACGGCGTCTGCTTACCTGGCCCACGATATAAGCGATCACCGTAAGTGCAGCGCAGATCTGTGTGGCGAGAAGTAGGAACTTAAACCTGTAAATGATGCCCTGTAAAAGGAGGAGAAAGAAAAAAGATCACAGAGAGCAACATGTAGACAAAACGCTGTGGTAATGTAGCTGTAACCAGGATAGTACACGTGAAAATAAAGAGAAAACAGAGGAAACTGTTTCTGCCCATCAGTTGCAATGCATTCAATAAAGTATATCTAAGCATGCAACATGAAGCCACTTTTGATGTCTTTCTTTTAAGAAGGGTAGAATACACAGCTGGATTGCAGGCAGAACTCCATACAAAAGGGCCTTGTCCATGTCTGCGGTAAGAAATGTGTAAAAAAAAAGGTTGTAGAGTTATTAGTTTTTCTTACATTGGCATCATTCCAAGAGAAGATCACAGGCATGTCGGTAGCTTAGCCCCATGTTCCCATAAAAACACTAAGCCCAAATCTCAGGCTAAAGATAAGCTTTTTGGTCCAAGGCTCGTCAAAATATTAGGCCCTGGAGAAAATCGGCCATCTGTGCTACGTCCTTATTTCCATTAAACTCGTTTCGTTCACCTTCCGCCCGTTGAAAACCAGGGGGACAGACCCCAAGCATGCGCTTAACCTCGCCGCTCGATTGTGCCTTGAGAATGCGTTTAGAAAATCCCTAAACTCTAAAAATGATTGGGAACTAGACGGAGGTTCATCCACTTAAAGGATTTCTGGGTGCATGGATACTCACAAAACACTGAAGTCCTCGCAACTATTGGACTCGTGTTTACACCGGTCACAAGATAAGAGATCATTTCAATAACCGGTTTTTGTGCACCGCCATCTTGGTCTTATTGGGCTTCTGAGTGCATTTCGAGCATTCTTGTCTGAGTGGCAAGCTCGTCTGCTCCTTGCACACCTCCATACATCTCTTTACTCACCAAATACACCCACATGCTTTTGCATTTCCCCACCTCAACCAATGACAGTGCACGCTTGGCTGCCTCGTCATCGCGCGTTCCCTATGCATCCTTTGTGTTGCCCTTCAATTGGCGTGCCCTTCCTTGCGTTCCGACGTGTCAAAAATGCATTTTGGCACTACACCTTCTTGTCGAACATCCCCCCCTGCTTTTCGTTCCGGTCCTCCGGACGTCGAACGATGCGGGCTTGCTTCGAGATACCTCATAGTACATCCTGCGAGCCTGGCTCATGCTGGGCAAGGCATTCCTCTTGAAGCTGATGTTGCGCAGCACTCTGTACAGCATGTACGACAGGAACACAAAGTAGAGCCCCGCGGACAGGCCGGCAAGAATGATGAAGGCCAGCTGCAGTCAATTGTGTCAAGGACCAGTGGCATACCTATAAAGAGCTGTTCACACAAAACACTATTTGTCTTGCACAAAGAAAAAGAAAAACAAAAGTGGATGTCTTAATTAAAATTTTATCTTTAGGCGCGTGCATACAATTTCAGTGAGGACGCGGCCTTCTGCACAGCACGACCCTCTTCCTCACCTTCACCATTGTCTCCTCCCCTTTCTTGTTTATGAGAAGTTCAGAATGGGTAACAGTGGTGGAGGCCTTGACTGACCTCCACCGCTGTTGCTCCGCCCAGCGAAGGGTGGGAGTGGTTGGGTACTGGCACTACATCACAAGCACCTTCCAAAGACAGAAAAGCGGAAGGCAGCTTTCCTCGCGACAAAAATCGCCCCAAAATAAGCAGGCAAATAGAGTGTGTGGCCCAAGCCGTCTCCTGCTTGAACAGCCCTCAACTCAGATTTCTGAAAAGTGTGGTTTAGACCTACGTGTTCGAGTGTGACTCGCTGCGTTATGGCTGCTTGCATTCCTCTACGAGTTGCACAAACTTTGGTTGCCGCATCAGCAACTTTGTCATAGGCAGTCATAAGCGATCATAATGCAGTTCGTTACACTCTAATGAAAATGTCTGAGCCACCCTTGATGCAAAACGTCCCTTTCATACCTATACCAGTTATAGGCGGAAGGCGACGGATACATACACAGCAGTTCAGCTTTTGCTTATTCAAGCATTATTTCCACGTTTAACAATGGCTTTAATCCCCCAGATTTTGACTGAAAAAAACTACCGTATTTACTCGAGTAATAGCCACACTATTTATGAACAAGGCCCTTGCGTCTACTTTCCCGCAAAGCACATATACAGCCAATCATCACGTTGCGCATAAATAACATAGCGAACAACTAGATCGAGAACACGATTCTCCATACAAATGCAATCTTCACAGAAGGTATCTTCGCACGAAGACGTTATCTCTGTCCTGTTAGCAGCTGGAATCATGCTGTTGATCGCGGCGATTGGCAATCCGCGTGCTCCGCGGAAAAGCGAACCCTCGGGTTTTCTTCATAAGCAGTGCGGCTATTACTCGAGTAAATACGGTAAAATAATTTCAGCAATGTGCTGGCCTTTTTGTTTTCAATGACTGCTGGAGTAAAAATTACTCTAGAATCTAACATTCTGGCAACAGCGCATAAAAAAAAAAGCTTCTAATACGTCAGTGACAAAGAAATTTGTTCCTAGACGATGGGTCTGACTTTTTTTTCCACCTTGAAGTTATTTGAAACCGAATTCGGATGGATGGCGAGTGTAGGCATGAGCTCCCCATAAAATAGTAAAAACATTAAATTTTTGGAACAGACTTTTTTTTTGTAACTAATGCGTAGGACATTATTAATCAATAGAACACAACGAAGAATGCACCAAAATGCAGTAAGAAGCTTATTATTGCCTTTTTTAAACTTAGTTTATTCAGTTTTTTTGCTCGGAACTTGGGATGACATCACAGGCCAAGAAAAACAGCTACAGCAACGGTCACGTAGGCCAGCAAGCTGCGGAGCAATGGCAACTTCGTTGTTTGCCAAAAGCAAAAAGTACAAGGTGTCTCCGTAAAAAATTTACAGGGTTTTTTTTTTTTTTGTTACAAAGATAAACTACACATTGTTGAACACTTATTCTCGACCAAAAGGTAGCGCTAGAAGTCTGAACCAGATGCTAAAGTTTCAGCACAAACTGATATCTTATTCAAAAGTTATAGGTGATTTTCTCAAAAATTAAATGGGAAAATGGTGGCAGGCAAAACTCTCGAATACAGTCGACTCTTATTAATTCAAACTCCAGGAAGCCACAGACTCTAGTTTAAAATATCAGAAATTTGATTTACCAGAAATCCATCTAAATATGATATGAGGCAAAGTAGTAATTTGCTATATGAATAGCTACTACACGTATCAAGCAGATTTTTTACACTTTCCTCCACACAGGCTTATTTATAAACACACACAAACATAAAACAGTGGTGAAGTTCAAAGCAAACAGTGGTTTTGGTCAAATATTTTCTAATTGAATACTGAATCGCTTCTCCAAGCCTCTTAGTACCGTTGTGCCGTGCTCAAAACAAAAATTCGGCTGAACTCATGAAGGTTGCTTCCAACCTTCCACTTGTCCAACTTTAAGCTCGGTTAGTTTTAATATAGCTATATCTACGAAATGTGGCCTCAGAAAGTTCAATGCCTACAATGGGGTGGCATGTAAATGACAGACCTGACATAAAATTAAACCTAAAGAGATGCCCAGCTATCCTAATCAAGGGAATTCCTAAATCTGCTTGCTATATGCAAATATTCTGTCTTGAATCTCTAATTTAACTTCCTCAGAAAAATATTAAAAAAAACAAGCATGAATAATGAAAGCAGATTGTCAGGACAGTTCTGCTTGCATAATCGCGTAGGGTTAATCCCATCGAGTGCGCTTCTCACCAAGCACCCGCGTACTGCGGAAAAGCAATGACTGCAACCATCGTGGGTATTGCTTACCCACAGTACACAGGTGCTCGGTGAGAAGCCTGCTCAAAGGGGCAAACACCGCAATGAACAAATAGTATGAGTAGACCTTTCCTGAAAGTCCCAGAATACCTCGCGGTGGAGCGAATTGTGAGGCTGTTCAGATGTATGCTCGTGCACACTCGAATGCTTCGTATATCCTCGAAGCGGTACGATTCATTCTCTCCTATCATTAGCAGCTCAGAACGCACAAAAAATAAAGCGAATACAAAAGGAGGTCATCACATACTCTGTTTTTCTTTCCTTCGGCCTTCTCTGCGTTCTGAAATCACAAGATGTTAAACCAACGTCAACTTCGTCTTTAATTCCTGAATAATCTCACGTGGCGTACATTGGAATGCCACAATGCGTCAAGCAGATGGTGAGGGCACCACATGTTTCCGGAAAAATCTACTAAGCGAAAACGCTGTTTGAATTAAGCAGCTTATAAATGCATTGAAGACATTGCGGGACAAGGAATTTTTTTCAATTTGTTTCAACTACCCGGAAGTATGAAATATCCGAGTTTGAATTATCGCGAGTCCACTGTACATGCAGTCCTATGGCACCAGAAGCAGGCAAAAATGGGCCCCATTTTCTCATTGAAATTTTCAGAAAATCACTTCTAAGTTTTTAATAAGGTATCGGTTTGTGCTGAAACCTTGGGATCTGGTTCGGACCTGCTAACTTTGGGCGGAGAATGAGTGTTCGGCGATGCATTGTCTATTTTTGCGGCGGAAAAAGAGTCTGCAATATTTTTTTGGGGGGACACCCTGTAGATATAATGCAATGATACATTATTGCGATCGTGGCATATTCCATTTTGCATTCCATAATTAGGAAAACCCTACGCTTACTTAAAGAAAAAAAAGTAACTAGACCAAATATTTTAAAAATTTGCTTCACAACAGCATTTATTTTTTTTTTAGACGGAGTAAGCGTGGAGAAAGAAGGCTTAGATTGCTTTTGCTTCAAAGGATACAGCAAGGTTGCTGCCAACTTGCGATGCCCAGATGCTGTAGAAAGGGTTTCTGAGTTGAATTCCCCTGCAAAAGAAGGATAAAAAAGCCGATTCATCGCTGGAAGTTCCACACACTCTCCTACGAGACAATGAATTCTCCTTGACGTTGAGGCTGTTGGCGGCAACTTTAGATTGTCTTAATTACAAATTACGCAAACTAAAAATGGTGCCAACAATGAAAAGACAGTGAGCAGTGCAAGGAAGCTGGCGACAGTTTATCGCATCGTGCAAAAGCCGAGACTGCCACGGTTCACTAAAGTCTTAAGGGGGACCGTTGAAAACATTTCTGCATTCCTCCACATCGTCAAAATGTATCTGTGTATACTACACACTGCACATTTTTTCACATCTTTTAGGAAGCAGGCTTTACATCACAAAAGGGTTAGGTTAGGAAAAGCTAAGTAATGACCATTGGTCTGAAACTGGAGGTTAAAATTTAAAATGATTACAAACTGTCTCATATTTAGATATGAAAAGTATATACCTGCGGTTCAGTATGTGTCGATGGTGCATTATGTAGGTATGCCAAATTGGCAGTCGAAGTTCGAAATCAACTAAACGAAACATCAAGAGCGATGCAGCTTAACGTAGTATCCCGACACATGCCCCATCCCCGAAAGATAACCCACACCTATTTTAAGCCAGATTTGCTATTTTTCTTTTTTCAAACACCGAAAGATAGCTAATTTTTATGGTGTATTCGCACGAGAGAGCTTTATCTCCGGAACTGCGAGAAGGAAACGACACGAGAAGGAGGAGGCAGTACAGAAAATCCAAGCGAGCATTCGCACAATGGAGTCGCATGAAGTTGAGTCTCCAAAATCTTTCTTTTCGCAAACCTGCTGGCAACTTTCGGGAGCTCATCGTACAAAAGGCAAGGAAAAAATAATAAAGAAAAAATCACCCCCCTCCATAGCTGTTCCTCATTATCCCCCCCAAAAGCAGAGGGACAAAGGAAGGGGTCAGATCGCTCCGACAGAACAGTGGATATTCTGTAGGCCGGCCACAGATTCTCCTCGGCTCCCCGCGAGCTTGAAGGATTAGCAAACATCCGTGACGCGTAGCCTGTGACCTTAAAACTAAGCGACGTTTAATCCTCTCCTCGGAAAGAAACTCTGTCGTGAGAATACACCGTTAGTAATCGTAGTGTTGGGACAAATGATGACCTTGGCGTACATGCGGCTAGATAGCTATGGCGGGATATAAGCAAACATTGCTGACTGGGAAGTACAGTTATCTTTGCCTCACTGACCCTCGCCGCGACAACAAGTTTGGCAGGGAGATATAATCTAAAAGTAGCATTTTTTCAACTTTCCTCGACTGCACTTCCAAAAGTTAGCCCGCTCCTTATTTTCACCTCATTTGTTCTCGGATTTAGGTGGGCAATCTATCGGGATATTAGTAGTAGCAAAAAGAAAGTAGATATGTGTCACTCTGGAGTGATCCAATGGAAGGCACCGCAACACACAGAGAAAACTTGGTGAATTCAAGTGACTCAACATGGGGCGAATCACCTTTCGCACAGGTCGAAAATGAAGAGGCAGACACAGCCGGTGATCACTGCACTTAGATGTTTCCAGTAAGACCGAAGTCGGTTGCGCTCAATGTCGTCCTGAAACGAAAGCATCTCTGCCTCTCCATCACTGTTATGAGGCCAACTTCTGCGGGAAGCTCGTGCACAAACGTTGTGAACCCTTCGCTACCGTTGTCCAACACTCGTGCAAAAGGGTCTCGCATGCTGACGAACACTTCCGCACGCGGAGCCTTGTGAAGAACAGCCTAACGAAGGCTTGTATCAAGACGTGAAAAGTTTCTCTAATCACTGACAAGGTGAGAAGGGCAGGGAGGAGCTTCAGTTTTCCCATCTCTAGTGCAAGCTACCTTTAACAATAGTTTGGTGTCTCGTGCGTGTGTGCAGCCAAAAGCTGAGCAAAGCTTGCTTGGAGCGCGTGCTGCAGGCAGGGCGTTCGAAAGACGTGCCCCGCCATTCTCATACTGACAGTGACCATAGTTTATCATTCCCTGTCTAAATAGCCAAAACAAGCGGTGGAACTTATGAAGCACTTGAGGCGTAACAACAAGTGTCACTCAAGGGTTTGTCTGCAATGCCCTTCTACTTAGGATGTCAAGTTGATGTAAGGTCTGCAGGAACCTGAGTAGAGAGGTGCTGGTATTTGTAAGTGGATAGAAAGCTGTTTAGAGTAGAAATAACTTAAACCTTGATAAACTGTAAGTAAAAAAAAATGCAATTTTAAAGCTCATGTTAAAACTATGTAGGGCATGTGACTAAATAAGTTGTTTAAATCACTTTCTCAACGCCCCTTGTTTGAACTGTTCAGAAAAACAGTCGAGCACTCTAAAGACTCCAAAACACATGCTGGGCCAACATGAAAGTTAAACCAATAGCATTAATGTAGTATGCGTAAATTTACACGAGGATTTGCAGCAAGTGGCAGAACTTTAACAACCCTAACGCTTAGGGACTCCAACAAACGGTAATCGTTTGTGATAGAGAGTCTGGTACAACACCCAGTTAAGTTTGCAAATCGGCCCCTGAGGTCGATAGACAAACTTCAGTTGAACTGGGCCGATCCTAACAAAACTCCTGTGCCAATACACTCCTCTGACATGCTCAGACTCATTTTCACAAAGTGTGTATTGGACGCGTCAGTAGATACGGAACTATGGCCTGAGGGTGCGTCTAAGTTCACGAAGTAGCAACAGCCCGACTCCGGTGCGGACAAGTCAGAGAGTCGAAGAGCCGCAGGGTCAACGCGAGTCTGGTGTGACGTTCAAGTGAAAGAACCTACCCTTCGTCCCTCCTTCAGGATCCCATGAAAAGCAAGCACAGTTCACAGTGATTGGCAAATGCGGTTCATTCAATTCAATCCTATTCAGCTTTATTTCCAACACAGTATGTTGGGTGCCCCCAGGCGTAAGAACTGTCCTGGGCAGCTTAGATAGCTGCGGGCATTCGAGACAGAGAACCATAACTTGTAACTAATTTGTATCGGTTGCAAGCGTGCGGCATTCCAATGCTACGCATCTACAATGTTGGCAGCTATTTTGTTTTCAGTTATATCACCGTGTTTTCCGGGCTATAGTCCATGGAGTGTACATGTTTGAAAGTTGAAATTTTAGGCTGTGCTATCTACTATCATGGTAATAAAACCCGAGACTCAGGAACACAGAAGGGGATGAACACAACACAACGTGTTTGAGACATTGTGTTGTGTTAGTCCCCTTCTGTGTTCCTGAGTCTCGGGTTTTATTACCATGATTCATCACCAGCTCGCTTGTTTTTTAAGTATTATTGCTATCTACTATCTAGGACTATCTATGCATACAGAATATACAGGATTTTCGTCTTTCAATACCGTCGATTATGACAGGACGAGACGGATTTTATGAATAAAAGAGTATGTTAATGATGACTTATGTATATCATACGCTTCTCTGCGAGCTAAGAAAGCAGGCACTTGTCAAGGCATGCGACGTATGGGAAAATTTTCGTGTCGACTATGCACGGCGTGCGGAGTGTGCACCGGGTGCGGACAATCGAAACAAAAACTTTCATTTTTGACCCCAAATCTGCCCCTGCGGACTATACACCGGAAAACACAGTGTTCGACGGGGGAATGCACGAACAGCCTTATCAGGTGCCATAGATTTCAGAGGCCGAAGTTACAGCAATTCTGAGAAAAACTAAAACTGAATGTAAGAGAGCACATAAAAAAAATTAACCACAACACGCAAATTCATTAGTCAAATTCGTTTGATGAATGTTTTGTACAAAATCATTGTATCCCGAGCTTTAAAGCTGTGTTAATGCTGCCAAAAAGAAAAATACTTTTCTAGCTATACTCATACAAAGTCGGTTTTTCCTGCACATAGAGCAACACTATACACTTAAGAGAGCGACATAACAAGCAAAATTATGTGTTCCTTTCTAGCAACAAGCAAGCGCGATCACAGAAACATGCACTTACCATAAGGTGTTCTCCACAAAAGATAAGCCAGAAGCTAAGAAGCGTAGCATAAAAGATTCCCTGCCGTATGTCACTCATGAGTAGCATGAACGGCATGTTGAGCCATAAGGTCAAGAACTCCAGGGGAACTGAAATGCAAGACGCAAGCACCGTTTAAATCAGGTCATGTCATGAAAACTTGGATTGTCTCAGTCCAGCCCAAGTATTTATACTGCACGGGTTCTCATAATCAATAGGATATGACTAAAATGCTTGTGGTCGTCATGTAACGGAGTGTGTCAGCTTAAGCTTAAGAAACCTTAACAGAAAGAGTAAAAATCTTAAATTTATAATGTAATCATAGCTATTTAAATAATTATAGTGTAAACTTTAGCACCTCATCTGATAATTTCCAGTCCAGAAACCCTAGAAACTAATCGTTATAAGCGGATACAAACAAAAATGAATCAGATATGGCGGATTGCAGATCGCATGATAGGGGCTGCGGATGCGAATCGGATTCGGATGAAAATCGGATTCGGACACTCTCGAGCCCGGATCTACAGGGTGATTCAAGGAGACGCCAGGCTCTTTAAATCGACCGCAAAATTCGGTTTCTTAACCTATCACGTCACAACTTTGTGCAGCGTTGCCCACAGATGGTGCATTTTTTTTGAAAAATTTGCAAAGAGCGAATTTGCCTGAGGAAAAAGTAAAGAAAGAAAAAGGCTTAGCTCCTATGGAAACGCAGCGAAGCCACCGGTCTTCAAACAACACGGCGGCGTTTCGCACGGGAGACAAGAGACGGCGCAAGCGGTCGCGACGCCAACTGCCGCCAACGAACGAGCAGACGACGCTGAGAGCCGGCGTCTTTAGCCGACAAGGAACTGCACTTCCTTGTTGTTACCGCGCCTGTTTTTGTTTCTGCGACTGTCGCCGCCTGCGGAACGCACGCCGCTTTTGAGTCGAAAAGATTGCCTGCTAAAAACGCCGGCTCTCGGCGCCGTATGGTCGTTCGTTGGTGGCATTCGTTGCGCCATCTCTTGTCTCCCGTGCGGAACAGCGTCGTGTTGTTTGAAGACCGGTGGCGTCGCTGCGTTTCCATAGGAGCTAAGCCTTTTTCTTTCTTTACTTTTTCCTCAAGTAAATTCACTCTTTGCAAATTTTACAAAAAAAATGCACCATCTGTGGGCAACGCTGCACAAAGTCGTTGCGTGATAGGTTTAGAAACAGAATTTTGGGGTCGATTTAAAGAGCCTGGCGTCTCCTTAAATCACCCTGTACATTCTTGCTGAGGCGGCCCACAAACATTTGTGACCACAGAGTGTAGAGTGAATAAATAAGCGATACAAGGGCACCATTGAATGTTTCGTGGGAGCAAATCTCTGTCTTAGAGGAAAGGTGCCAATCGGAGAAAAAATTATTCTTTACACGAAGAAAGACCTAATTCTCGCCAATGATCGCTTTAGAGTTTTTTTTTTTGCCTAAAATGCTGTTCCTATAGATAAAGTAAAAACATGCAGGGGCATCAATCGCCTTGGGAGTGCGTATTCTTGTTTGACACGGCAAGAGTGGAAAACATTCCTTGGCAAAGAAAACCCAAAACATACAATCCACAGGGAAGTAGAAGCAGCCTCCTCCAAAAGAAAAATGTGGTGTGTGTGCGCATTTTGTTTTTTTCTTGACAGTTGGTTAGTTGTTGATAAGTATGTGGCTTGAAGTACGTAGTTTTGGGGTCGTGTTTAAAACTAAAACTGATAGGAAATGTTGCCATTATTGAATACTGTGATATTTTCCCAGTGATGTACTCGCATCTTGCCCTGTACATACGAGTACTTCACTGGGGTGAGTGACATTTTCTCTCCCTTTTTGTTTGTTGTTTGACCTCAATAAAATGACAGAATGTTATTAGTCTGTCCTTCATTAATTACCATGTTTAGAAAATATCTGTCTGCTTTAAGTGGGTGTTACAAAACAAAATCAATAAAAAATAAAATAAAATGTGTTTTTTTTATTTGAGAGAGGCAAAGTGCTGTAGACCCAGGATGATCTTATAAATGTGATCATATTTCCACAGATGCAAAATGTCTCTGAAAGGATGATTGTTTATAATACTAATACGATGAAGCACAATACGATAAAATGATTTTCACCGTATTCTGGCTCGAAGAGTTCTGTACGAAGAGAAGCAAGCAGCGTATAAGGTACCATCCAGGGACTTTCTATCGGGCTCGATTTCATGGTGTAACATGAAGGCACAAATTGGGGTTCGAATGCGGTTCCAAATTTTGCGGATGTAGTCTGGATGCGAATATAAATTCTGCAGATGCAAATCGGATACGGATATACAATAATTTAAGAACATTACGGATGCGGTTCGGGTGCGGATACAACGTCTGCGGATGCAGATCAGATGCAGACGATCAAACTGCTGTCTGCGCAGGGCTCTAAAACTTCGCTATAAATAATAATTTTTTTATACGGACAAAAGCATCACATTCAATTTGTTAATGGTAAAGCTGTTGTAAAGCCACTGCAGCAGCATTTCTTATGCCAGTATAAACAGGGCATTAAACACAACCTTTCTAGTCTGCAAGTTCCATCAGCAGCAAGGCAAACTACAATGTCTATGACAGACTTTACAATAAACTAATATAAAAAGTCATGAAATCGAAAGTAAATGATATAGTAGGCATAAAACAGACTTCAGCTTGCAGTACATTTTGGTGAGCTACATCCTTATCAATAAACAATAGAAACTACTGGTTGTATCATACTTGACAAAAAGAACATTTGAACAGACATCTGCATAGAAATGACATTGAAGCAGAAGTAAAAAATACCATAACCTGAATAGTATAAAACTTCCAACTGACACTAAAAGATTCATCTTTAAGGTTATCTATGTATGAGGACCTGAATGTAAACAAAACAAGCAGCACTTACTGTTCAGCAATGTCATGGCCAATCCCAGCGACAAGAGGAGGCTGAAAGAGAAATGCAAGATTTTTAGTTTTAGAAAGAATTTGATTTCAGCTGGTGGCCAAATTAGCAATAAACTAACTGGACGGCCAGACGTGGCAAAATCTTTTGAACCGGGTGGCAGCTGGCGCCACCTAGTCAGTGACCCCAGATAGGAACACTCACCCCTCCAGAAGGTGTGGAGGTCTTGCGAGAAGCCTGATGCGCCGCCAGTACCAGATGAGAGTTGCCACGATCAGGGGGAAGAAGAATGTCTTGAGGGACACCCAGACCTTGGTAAAACCTCCATTTTGGTGAATCAGCTGGAAGAAACACAAGAGCAAGCTCGGTCGTAAATCTGGCACAGGATGCTGGTCGCAACATCTGTGTGGGTGGCACTATGGAAGTTTACGGTAGCTGGCTATGGTGAAAAACCATAGCCAACCCCTACATCACATGGCTATGGTGAAAAAGCTGAAGTTGCTAAGTTTTCTCGAGAATGCGAAGATTGGTTTATTCACTCATCGCACTTAGTGCACCATGCTTTAGGTCAATGGTTCTCATATGGGGGTATGTGGACCCTTTGGTGTCTGCAAAGGCGTTCTAAGGGTCCGCAAAACCCTGCCTCATCAGTCAAGCCCGGCAATAAAAGTTGTCTTTTCTTAGATTGAGAAGAAACGTTCCAATTTTCGGGCGAGTTTTCTCGTGTGTATGTAAATAAGAAAAGTCCACTTCACACTAGCCTTATTTATATCCATTTATTAAATCAATATCATAATTAACCTATATCTCTCCCTTCCCCTTACCACAAATGGGGTCCCCCATCATCTTTGCCAATCCACAAGGAGCCCGCGAAACATTAATGGTTCCACCGCTTTAGCGTCTACCATAGCTTTCGGCTGCCTACTGCATGAAGAAACAATCTTGAGGTTGGTGACCTTTTCCCAAAAATAGAAAATCAAGTGTAGAACTGGGAAGGGGCACCTTACTGGGTTATGTACCTATATAACAGTAACTAGTGGTTTTCTGCCCCGTACTCACCACCAGCCAGGCATCAATCACTTTTCCGAGCCCCAGATTGGCCGTGCTCTTTCCGTCGATGGGCAGCCGCAGGTTGAGGAGGTAGAAGTCGTGGTGCAGGCTTCCCAGCTCAAACAAGCTCAGGACGTCGCAGTTGTACACACGCCCTCCAGTATCCTGCAGCTGCACGGATTCGTACACAGTATGGGACACCCAATGTGAGATGCATTTCTAAGTTACCCCGGTTTTTCAGATTATCTTTGATGATTCCAGAAAATTTTCCAAGGTAATTTAGTGGAACAGAGATATGTACATATCCACCCTATGTGGGTCCTCAAAAAGAGTGGCTGATTTTGCTCTAAAAGTTTTTCCAAATAAAAGGCAGGCACACTCAAGCAGCAGTAGTAAGGTGGTTAGTTGGGCGAGTTGGTAATGATGGAACATGGTTATAATTGCACACAAATAGAAAGGAACAGAAAGAGATTTTCCCATTTCCCTCTGTTAATTTCTATTTGTGCACAATTTTAACCTTATCCAGCAGCACTTTGGCATTATCTTCTGCATGTAGCAATTTGCTTGTGGCATGAAACAAGATCCAGTTCTCTAAAGTTTTTAATTTAAAAACTACCCTAAAATATCGAGCATCGATCCAGCCACGTTTCAATAAGTTCCCACCCACTACTTTTGAAATGTTTGAAAAGTAGGCGAAGGCCATATCAAGCGTACACACCAGACTTCTGAGCACACCTAGATAACTGAGATGCTCGTTTGCGTCAGCTGCTTCTCCAAGTGCACCGCAGCAATGCAATGAAGCATGACACGAACGCACTGGTGTTAAGCGGTGAAACCCACCTTACTGCGTGCCAGTTCTCTAAGCTGGCTCTTGGACCTAACAATTGCCTGTACCCAGGGGCAGATGCAGGAATTTCCTGAGGTGGGGGTCAGGTGTTGGTCAGCGTACCATATGTTTAGGTACCCCCTCCCCCTCTCCCTCGTTTCACGCCTTAAATTTTACACATGCAGAAATCAAGAGGGGGGTCAAGACATCCAGACCCCCCGCTCTAAATCTGCCCCTGCCTGTACCCCAGTTTTTCAAGAATATCTCCAACTTTTAGGTGGGCCCTTGCAGCACACTTTATGGTAGTGCTTTTTGGTAAACTAACCAAGAAATGTTCTTCAGCAAGCACAAAGGTAACTTGATATACTCCAATGATCGAAATCAGTACTGGTCCCCAAACCACCCAGACTTGTTTGATGCACTTATTGAAGTGAAGACAACTTTACTCTCAATTATGACAAAAATAATATGACATATATAATACTCTCAAGCAAATGCCAAATCATAAAGAAGAAGGAACAATTACTACATACAAGTTGGGGGAAATCGACACTTTGAACTTTCAAGAGCAGTGAAAAACTTGATAACTTTTAAAACATGCACCTTTGAGAAACTGATAAGAGTTCTAATATGTCATAAACGGGTGTCTTCCACACTTGTGCCAAAGAAGGCACGTTGTTAAATTAAGCAATCCACACTTGCGCCAAAGAAGGAACGTTGTTAAAATAAGGAATGCATTGGCTACAAACGTTTCCCAACTGCAGGTGCATTTAAGCCAAGAGCCTCGACGGCCTCTACTTTTCTGGCACACGTTTGGATTTGCCCGTTTTCCTTGCCAGTTAATGCTACCGTTTCAGAAAGGCAACTAACTAGTGCAACTATTTGCAACTCCAGCCCGTTGCTCGCCCTCTTGTGGACCAGCGGAGAATCACAGGAGTGGGGATGGCAGTGGCGGCGCGGAGACGGTGGCACTGGCAGGGACTGTCGGCCTTGGTGCTTCTATTACCGCATGGTTCTGGTCAGCGTGTTTGTGCGTAAAGCACTTTTATTGAAAAAAGTGAGAGTTAAAAGAGGAATTTTTGTGTTTTGCCTCACAACAGCCTTGCACAAGGAGACCGGGATGTCTAATTTAATTGAGGACTTTTTGTATATTGCACACGCTGTGGATTTCTGGTCTTGTGGTCACCAGCTCAATCTGTGCTCAACATGGCAAATGCCCCCGCTCTAGCGTACAGTCCACGAATGATTTATTCTTTGCTCTAAGTAGGAGAAAACAGGTTGTGCAACACTATGTCAAGCAACAGACATGGGGAATGGGTTCGCGTCTTAAGGCCGTTACAAGGAATGTGACCATTTGCTCCAAACCCTTTCTAAAGACAGAATACACATACTAGCTTTCAGCTAATTACAAAGGCAAAAAAAAAATGCTTGAAGCATTGCGCGTCTGTGTTAGTCAGCCGTTTGCGATGAGATTAGAACAGGCAGTTTTGGCGAGGCGGGTTGCAATGTTGCAAATAACATGGTACACAAATGTATGGTATGTTAAAATATGTCTTTTTTGCTAGAGCAATAAACAAAACCCCTAATCGTGCCGATGATGTAAGTAGGCGTTTTAGCATAGCATTATCACAGGCTACCGTGAGCATGGCAACACTCCTGGCGCGTGCTGAAAACTATGCTTAAAGGAGCAGCGTGCGAGCTTCTGGTTGCAATGCTGCACCGTTCAGTAGCCTGCGGTCACGCTATCCTAAAACTTCCTATCAATACCCATAGCGCAGTTCGATCATACGTAGCAATACACTAAAACTGCGACAGTGAGGACCGAGTTGTGAGCCTGTAACTCAAAGACATCAATACTGTGAATGCTGCTCTTCCAGAGCTTGACGGTCACCGTACACGACTCACTTTTTAGAGCACTAATGGCCAGGCAAAGTGCAAACACCACAACATCTTCATCAGCCTCAAAAATATCTTGCCACAAACAGTGGCGTGGCCGGTGTCCAAAACGCGCTCGACCTCTACAAAGCTTCGCAAGTTGAGGGTACCGCAACTTCTGAATATCAACATGCTCATTTTTCTAATGCAGATCAACATCTCCATCACCGGTTATAGATGCTCCAGCCCTGACCACTTCGCATTTGTAAGCAAATAAATTATGTTTAGCGCACTGACCAGCGTCAGCGAGCAGGCGTACGGGAAATCCTGGAGAATCTATCCCCGTCTCTTCCGCCATCTTGGAACTACCACCCCGCCGCCTATAGGGTGTTGGAGTTATGAATAGTCACTCACAGTATGATGTCGCCCTTTCTGCGAATAGGCACTCCCAGTATGACGCCGCCTTCTCGCGTAATGGGACAAGTAAAAACGTCCTAGAGGTCTAGGACGACCTCAAGGACAATGCCAAGGACAGCGTCGTCCTTGAGCATACAATTGAGCGGCGCGTGCCGCTCAATCATTATTTTATGGCCATATACGCTGCTTTCCCACTCAATGGGACAAGTGGGGCTTTCGCCTTAATAACTGATTTTCCTTACCTACGGTGCCCGTCTACTATCCACGCACTCTCCAACTGGCGCAACACCCGACAGATGGCGGCAGTGGCCCCGGCAACAGCTTAACGCTGGGTTGCGCCAAAAGCAGGTGATGTGTAGCTGAAATTACTGAACGAACCATCCGTTTTATCTGTTTTGTGTCCAGTTAATGTGTTCTAATGAGCGCGTGCCGTACATGGTTCGAAAACATTGTCTGCTTTTGGCACAACCATCTATCGGTGCTTGTGCGAGTCGATGGGTGCGCGGATAAAAGACGGGCGTCATAAGTAGGAAAAATCAGCTACCTTTTTTTTTTTACTTTTTAGTCGGGTGAAATTGTTCTTTGAAATCTTGATGCAGTGCTCCCCCCACCTTCGGGCACCTCTGCAGTAAATTGTAGCATGATGTGTTACCAAGCCAATTTATGCGGTCGCTTTAAAGGCTTCCCTTGGATTTGTAGGCACGTGGTAGAAGGCAAGCGATTGCTCCCTGGGAGAAATGTGGATGCAACGACTGACCTGCGTGTCACTGCTGTTGGTTTTAACGTCGCACCTCAGGTGCCTCTGCTCGAGAGACTGGGCCACCAGCGTCCACTTGTCGGGGGGGTCGTGCTTGTTGCGATAGCCCAGCTTCACTTCCAGTAGCAACAGTGGACTGGGTTCTAGAAAATGTTTTGAAACTGCTGGATGGGTGGCACTTACTCTTTTCTAGGCACAACAAAACGCAATATTGAGCGTGTCCAAATTGAGCAGAGCCTCAACTCGGACTGACTGAGGAAGTAAAAATTATAAAAATAATTGTGTTTGTTTTTGCGCAAAAGAGATGGAGCAGAGCTGGAAGTGTGAAGAGGATGTTCCTCTGCGGCATTCCGTGCGAAAAGAAAAAGATTACAGTGTTTAAAGGGACAGTGAACCCCCAAAAACATGTTTTGTAAGAACAAAGAATTTTGCGCAATATATGGGACACATATTGAGGGAGGAGCTATTCCGACACTAATTCAATTGTGAACTTGGAGCGAATCAGAAACCATCTATTTCGGGGAGGACGCCTGGAAATAGAAGGTAGTTTTGGAATGATTCCTTACTCAAAATGCCTCTTGTAATGTAAATAATATGCAAAAAAACAAAACAAAAAAAAAAAAACATTTTTTTTATTTTTAGGAAAATTCATTCTGTGGCGTACATATTCTATCTAGGCACCTAAAAAGATTAATATTTCTTGGAAGTTCAGTGTTTTTTCAAGTGGACAGAAGCCCCTTCAACAAAACAAACAAAGCTAGGAAAACAGAGAAATTGATAACAAGTGAGTGGGAAAAAGCAGTGGAAATTGAAAGAATAAAACACTTAGGGGACAGAAGACAAGAGACTGCTGCGCATAAATTTTGAGGCACTTCCCTGCAGCTTGTGAAGCAACCGAAATGGCACCAAAAGACGTGCCCATTATAGACAATACTTTCCAGTCTACAAGTCACACCGTTGCATAGGTCATCGCACCCTCCCCCTAAAAGGCTGTTTTCACAAAAACGTCGGTATATATACTATATAAGTCACACCTCTTTTGTATGGCCGGCGTGGTGCTGCAGCCAAGAACCAACGCTGCCATGCTTTGGACGGTGTTTGGACCGCCAGAAGAGCAGGCGATTAAAGTACATGATTACAAAAAAAAGCATGTAAGTCGTACCATTGTATAAAAAGTACCGACGGAAAGTTGGGAGAAAAGAACCACGAAAAGAACCACGTAACGACAGACCGACCCATGTGGCTGGAGTCGTCGATGTCCAACTGGAGGATCCCGATGAGGTTCTGCATCCAACGGGAATAGTCAAGGTCTTGGCGCGCCCGCGGCCCCGGTGCTTGGAAGGCGAACACGATGTGATTCGCCGTGACGCTGGCGTTGTCTTGGGGCACGTGCGCAAGGTCGCCAAGGACGTTGCAGTTGGTCGGGTGGCCGCCGACTCCGCGGGGAATGTGCCACGTGTCGTCGAAGACGCCGGATGGCAACGGCTCGTGCCGTAAACAGACGGTGCCCAGAATCTGGTCCGCATTGGATGGGGCCGGAGCTGCGATACAATTGCGTGCTTGAGGTTTCCGTCAAGAGAACGCACTCGGGGCATCTATCTATTCGATCTGGGTATAACTAGACTGAACTGTTCCATATATATATATAAAGTGCAATCCACTTATAATGATACAACATATACCGATGTACTGCTTATACTGATCAGTTTCTCTAGAGTTTCTAGACTAGAAACAACCAGTTTCTAGTCCAGATAAAATTTAATTTTCGAGTTTTCTCAATTTTATTTTAGGTGGAGTGAACTGTGTATCAACAGTCCTCTTGAGAGCAGTAAGGACTGGCAGTAACATAGCCCTTCACCTCCCCAAGAAATGGGAGACACAAAAAAGATATTACTCGAAAAGCTCCCGAGTTCACACCAGAACCACCAGAATGTACCTTCTGCAGAAAAAGGAGGCCATTCAACATCACCCCCCCTTCAACATCATCCCCTTCTACGAGACTGTGAACAATTCAGAAAAGAAAGGGAGGAAACACTAGCCATGCTACAGCCCCCAAGACAAGCCAAAAGACGCGCAAGGATGGATAAATCCTACAGGCGATTCCGAAAGCAGGTTCAACTGAAGTGATCCGTAGTCTCCTATCTGGAGAAAACGGGCCTCAGTAAAAGATTATAATTTCCCTTTCCTTGCCAGGTTATCCCAGAGTGCCACCGCCTCTTTCTTTTCATAAATAAACATTTTTTCATTAATTCAATTTGACTGAAGGTTTTGCAGCAACTAGAAGATCAAATATACGTGGTATCCAGGAGAAATGGTCTTTTACAACGTCGCAGAATCATTTCATGCTCATGGTGAAAGAATAATGCGTAAATTATACACAAAACAGAGGTGCTCCATTTGGCAATTATCTCGTTGTAAGCCGACAGAAACGGTTGTAACACAGTCAATCACACTCAAACACGAAGGTGGTCGCGGCATGGAAAAGGGAGCTTGAAAAGAAGTCTCTTGGAAGTTGAGATCGTCATTTCGCTAAGAAATATAGCTTTGTTTGTAATTTCATAGTCATGTAGAAAGAAAAATGGTGGCAGGCACCCCGAGGCATCCAGAAATAATAATTATGGAGTTATTCAACCAGTGCGCAGTAACGCAGATAGAAAAGACGAAGTAGAGACAACATGGCTTCCTGCTCGAAGCTTACATTCGTGCTTGCTTGATTGTTGATTCTGTTATACTGAGAGAACCACGGACCTAATGCAAAGGTGTGTTTGGGTCTGCGGAATACGCGAGTTGGCGAAAGCATGCGGTAAGATGACGTTTAAGAGCAAGTTTTGCAGGCTCTGGGTCATTTCTAATCATTTCTAAGCCAACTAAAACCCTTTGACAGGAGTCAGATATATACCTCTTTAACCAAGTTCTTTTTTCCTCACCTTGCTCAAAGTAGACGGGCTTGAAAAAAAAAAAAAAAATAGTGAAATATACGAGGCAACGCCAACCTTCTGTCAAAAAAAAAAAAAAAAAAAAAAGAGCGAGAGAGAGAGAGAGCGTTTTGTCAGACAATAAGACACCCCCCCCCCCCCCCCGCCTTTCGCTTCCCAATGAAGATCGGGCGGCTTCCTTTGAAGTGTCAGGTGCGAGAAAGAAAATGTAAAAGGGAAAGACATCACACTTTACGAAGAGCGGTTTAATATTTTTTTTAGCAATGCGGTTGCTTGCCATTATTCGCTGCTTACACCGAACCCGAAGTTCACATGACATCTAATGTCTTGTCCTTTTGAAACAAAAGTAAAATACAAGAAAACGTAATATAACTGACACAAGCGTGAAAGGTTGGTACAGGTATGCACCTGTCTGTCAATATCAAGTTATGATTGAAGCCACTGTTCGGGCGACCAACCTGGTTTTAAGTTCAATATCTACAGCAAATTAATTTGCACACGAAACTGCCAAATCTATTTTTTAAATTTTTTTATAACAATGATTATTTTCTTATGTTAACGCTCGTGGCCCGGTCTTTAAACACGAAAAATCGCTCATCACACTGCATGAATTGTGCCGATCGTGAGTTACGGAACGCACACAAAAATATTTGAACTGAAGATTAAAGATCAGACAGCGTCCAACGTGAAAACTAAATTTAGAAACTGGCAAGATCGTAGTGCGCTCCTCCTCTGCTTGAAGTGATTCACGAGTGCCGACAAAGGGGAAGTATGGACAATGGAAAAACAGCTTACCTATGAGACCGCCGATCAGAAAGCAAACGAGCTGGATGACGAGCACGACAGAAACGATACAGGCTAATTTGCGGCCGCTTAGATTTTCGAGAATGCTACCTGCCATTTTGACAGGCTTTCGTCCACACCACAACTTCGCGACGCCGGAGCAAGCTAGCTAGCGCACGGTAACATGCTTTTACGAACACCCCCGTCAATCCAGCCAATCCGCACGCACGTCAAACCCGCGCGGATACATACTTGAGTGGATAAAAAACTAATGGCGGCTTCCAAGTTTCCGACAATCGGTGATGGAAACTGACGAGTTTAAATACTGTATAAATAATCTGGTGGTGTAAAAGCTTCATTGCAAACGCTTCAGAGTCTTCGAATCCACTTCAGAGAAGTGTCAAATTGTAGATATTACGTGACATGACATCTTCAATTGGCTTAATTTACGTAAGAGGATGCTCTCGTTTTGATGTCGCCATAGCGGTCGCCATCTTGAAACGTTCACGACGAATATTTTAGTTTTGTAAATAATTTGGTTTACAACTATTGTTTCGATTTAACAATTTATATTTTCAAAAAATACCTAATTTTAAGTTTTTTTGCTTACTATTTGCACTTAAAAGGGAAAGATTAAAGCGCCAGTCAAATCCAGAATGCTTTAAGCAACTAAGTCAGTCGCAATTCCACTACAATCCAAAATACGAGGCATCCGAGCGTCCGGTTGTGTTTTGCTTCTTCAACGCGCTTCTCATGCAAACGAGTGTCCCAAACGTTCGTTTCAACGTCTGAACGTCTTCGAATGAACTAACCCGGCCTACGAGGGCACCCCCCACCGTCTCAAAATGCCCCGCGAACGCAAGGGAGCCAACAAATTCAAGGACGCTGACCTCGACAACCCGGCCGTCGGCCCGGGTGGTGACATGAAGCTCCAACCGGGCAGTCCGTCGACCAAGAAACGACGTACTCCCGCACAGGCGAGCCCCTCGATCCCAGACCTGGTCCCACCACCGCCGATGACGGGGTACGGCGAGACGATCGTGGCGTCGAACCCCTTCGACGACACCGTCCCTTCGCAGCAGACCCACCTCCATCACCGCCCCCCGCAGCACGCGATGCTACACCAGTCGCCCAGCGTGAACCAGCCGCCCCAGATGTCGGCCGCTAACGTGATGCCTCCGTCCGCCATGCACCCGAAGCCCATGCCGATGATGTCGGGTAAGATCTACCCTCACGACCAGCCGATGGTGTTCAATCCGCAGAATCCCAACGCTCCGCCAATCTACCCGTGCGGCGTGTGTCATAAGGAGGTACACGACAATGACCAGGCGATACTCTGCGAGAGCGGCTGCAACTTCTGGTTTCACCGTATCTGCACGGGACTCACGGACGCCGCGTTCCACCTGCTCACGCAGGAAGTCTACGCCGAGTGGGTCTGCGACCGCTGCCTTTCGTCGAAGAGCATACCGCTCGTGAAGTTCAAGCCCTGAGTAGCTTTCCTCCCGTAAGTTTGCGGGCGTGCAAACTTTTCCGCGTCTGAAAGCTGCTTACTGTTTTTTCTCCCTCTCCCAGTGCTTTTGGTGACTTTTTGTTTTTCCCCCTCTCCCAGTGCTTTTGAATCTCTGCTTTATTGAATGACTGACTTGATCAAAATACTCGCTTCGAACACACGAAATGCCTCCCTGCATATGGAACTTTTTTAACGTTGTCACGCTGACCCGTGTTACGATATACTCTAACGCTGGGATGCAGTGTCGGGCGTCACGACACAAGTACTCGGCGTCGGCGAATGCTTAGACCACACTTTCGCCCGTCCATGTTTTTGTTTTGGTATGGTACGGTGATGGGTGACAGTTGTGAATGGAGTTTTGGCGTTCGACGGTGTGGCAGCGACTGAGGCTATAGTGCGCCCATAAAATAGAATGTGCCTGTCCTTGAAACAGGTTGTGAGTAAGAAGAACGTTGAGGGACCTTGTCACTGTGGTATCTTGTGTGTTTCAGTGTCTTCGAATCGGGACCCTCGATTTTCACCTCGCATTGTCAACTGCGTCACATTGTCAACTGCGCCACACCGCCAATGGCTGCGATACAGGCCGTGGCGCAGCGGCAGATGTGGGTACGGCAAATGCCTCTTTTTCTGTACCTTGCTCTGCAGCCGGCCAGATGATGGAAACTAGTGTATCCATTGCTCGGGATGCCATAGCGACAGCGACGCATGCGTCTGCTCACTTTCTTTGCTGGTGGTTCTACGTCTGGCGACGCCTGGCAGCATGACACGCTGGCTCCTGCAGCACACCTCGCTGCCGACGCGTGACTGCTCGGATGCATGCTACGTGGTTTAGGATGCCCAACAGGCTGGTCAGACATGCGTTCCAGCCGCTGTACCGTTGCCCCTTTTAGATGAATAGGACCCTGCTCTAACCATGACTAGGCAGTGAGTGGCTTGTGCAACCTTGAGCTAACAAATGTTTCTTAAATACCAAAACCCCCTAGGTAGTGTTGTTTTAAAACCGTAGCGCTCAAATCGGCCAAAGCAATATGGCAGCTAGGTGCAGTCGACTCGTCAGCAAATAAACATGCTAGAAAGCTTTTTTTTAATCTGTATATTGGCTTTTTGATAGAAAAATTCTTAGCAAAACCAGCTTGCTTATTACCTTCCTTTGGGTAGTAATTCATTGGCTATGGAGAGGTCCCATGTGTACATGTTTTGCATACATTTTTACACATCGTTTAGGGCTAGGATATCATTTAAGAAAATGTGCCCCAAAAAAGTGCAGCACAATGCAATGAAACCAATTTAGAACGAACCCACGTACAGTGAATTATTGTCAATATCGAACTCACGGAAACTTTATACCAAAATGCATGTATAAAGCACTTTTATAACGAACAACATATTGGCTATATCGAGCCTTTCCCCCCCGAAAGGCTTCCAAAAACGCGCTGACCATCGTCTTCTAGCCTGTCCCTTCCCCCAAAAAAAGCAGTAGGAAAGAAAGAAAATTCCAAAAGCTCAAGTTGTAAACAAAGTTGAGCGAAGAGAAGCGATTCAGAAGGGGGAGAAAGCTAAAAAATGCACTCTGCACGCACGGAAAGAAAAAAAATTATCCCAAAACCGTTGCTCACGAAGAGAAGTGATTCAGAAGAGGAGATACGCTAAAAGAACAAACTGCTCGCATGCAAAAGTTAAAAATAAAATAAAAATAATAACTTTTTTGCGGGTGTTACAAGGCGGATGCGAAGACATGAGAAAGAAAGAGAAGCTCTTGCCTTACAACGAACGTATCATGGAAGTTCATTGTAAATGGTTTTTGCTATATCGAATTACTTGCTAAATCGAACTGATCGTAATGTTTCCTGCTGTTCGTTATAAATGGGTTTGACTGTATAACTTGCTGGACCTGTATCCCATAAAACTTTGCAGGAACCATTTCCCTGCTAAATTCAGCGGGGAACCCTAAACGGGTGTGCAATTATATGCCTATCCTGTTTACTCACTAAATTTAGCAGAAAAATGCATAAACAAGCACCCAACACAGCTGCACCTTCCACCTTCCTGACCTTCATTGTAGGATTGAATATATTGAACTTTTTTTTCTATCTGGCACCAGCAGGGCTGACATTCACCAAACAAAAAGCCTGATTTGGTGGTTTTCTTTTGGTATTTGGGGAATATTCAGCAGCTCTAACACCACCTATACCTTGTTCAGCCCCCAAGCTCAAAGTGCGGTGGGGGCTACATAGTCGCCGTACCAATCGACTGCCTCCCTTTCATCACCTGGCCCGCTCTCTCTCTACACCGCGGTGTAGGAAGTTTCTACTTTTGGTTACGGGCAGGAGTGTGATCCCTTGGCAAAAGATGTATGTATGACTGGTGCAACGAGCTCGAAGCTTGAACCTCACTGTCAGCGTAGGGGTGAAAGGAGCATTTGTTAGTACATTGCAACGAGAACTTCTGTGGAGCCACCCAGACATGCGAGGCTCTCGGAGCATTGTTTTTTATTCCTGTGGCTGGGAATAAAAATGGACTCCTCGATTGTACAGGGGAATTCAACGGAACACAATTTGAACTTGTTTCAATATACTGTCATTTTAATACCATTGAGTGGTGATGACATCAGTGCAGCCTTTTTTTTTATGTGGAAGGGTGTTATCAGCTTTCTTTTGGTTCTGATGGTGTGAATTGACTGTTGTTATGTTGCCACCTTTGCCCATGTTTTGAGTGTGGTCAGAGTTTATGGATGAATGTTTGAAAGGGCGTATAGCAAATAATAGAGTAGTGACTGTAGATAAATATAATGGTACGAATGCAAAACATGCATCAGTGCATGTTTTTTTCCTTTTTATAAAAAAGGCGTTTTTCTTGTATTTCCTTTTTATTGTTTTATGACATCCAACAACTTGCTATATTTATTACGTTTTTGTATAGTCATACTCATATGTTCTAGCTTTCATGTACCTACAAAAAGCATTTGCAGAAATAAACGGCCATTCAATGTGCCATTCAAAGTATGATCAAGATGGAATTCACTACAGTTATCATTGTGTGATCGATCAGTTGCTGTGTTGTACGCTGCTACAAAGTAAATTTTGTACAACTTTTCGTTGTCAACTGATCTTGTATAATGGCTGATTTTGAAAATGCATTGTTAATTTGTGAAGTGATTTAACTTGATCTGTTCATGGTAACCAAGGAGGTTAGAAGTACTAGGAGGGGGCACGTTGCAATATTGGTGAAGCCTAGTCATAAAAAGTTTAAACGATTTTGTGCCCAGCGTGACTGTAGATCTCTCTGGCGATTGGTGCGCGTGACATGTCACGTGTGAGATGGGTGGTTGATTGTAGAAGGACTCCTTGCAGGCTTGCGCGCGCTCCGTCCGGTAGGTTTTATCAGATCGAAGGCTAGACTGTGGTGTATTCTAGTATTCCATAGCAAGACGAAGGCTAGCTACGGTCACGTGATGTGGTCACGTGATGTGGTCACGTTGGCATGGTAAGTGAGGAGAGTAAGGAGGAAAATGAGAAAGAGCGAGGCGTCAAGGGAGCATGGCTTGTGGAGGCTATGCGGCCGACGTCATGCCCTCTCCTACCCTTCTACCCTCCTTGATGGTAACGATTCTAACGAATGACATCTGGCGGCTTGCTTGGTTGGATGGATGGTTGCTAATGGCTGTACCCTTTATAATGGGTGGTAGCTTGAGCCACCTAGCCTAGATACAAAGCCGAAAGTATGCCTTCCCTTGCCCTTTTAAGCCAATTTGCTTCCACTCTGCAATTTTGTAACTACCACCAGGCGGTGTGGGATATCATTAGGATGACCTTTGGCAGTGTTGGGTGAAGTAAATCTAAAAATTACTTGAAGTAAAATACGAAGTAAAAGGATGTGTATGTACTTCAAGTAAAAGTACTTAAAGTGTTAAGTACACTGGGCGTAATGCGCTTGAAGTAAAGTATTATATAAAACAATGTACTTTAAAAGTGTGGTATGAGTACTTTTAAAAAAATATTTTATGATCCCCTTTCATTCTCTAATAGAGTGCTTTTTAAAGCGGTAGCAATACAGGGCCTACCAACCTTTTAAACCGCGTTAGCAGGAAATGTGTAGGTTAGTCAATTCGTACTCAGTTCGATCTTGAAAAAAAAAAAAAAATGGTATTCGGCGCCTGTGATTGAAGTTTGAACTCTGATCACTGACGCGGAAGCCGAGTGCAATGCTGATTGAGCTATGGAGCCAGCACGCAGGAACAGGATGAGCAGAAGCAGGTGGTGCGAAAGCTTGCGGAGCGGAGAGGGCAAGAAAGGAGCTGAGACAGGTGTTGTAGAAAGGGCGTGCAGAACGAGGAGGAGTGGAAAGGGCAGAAAAGCATGCTTCCCCTCTTTTGGCGACCCAGAAAATTTAGCGCAAAGACTATCCAGGTGGTGCTGAAGGGAAGCACGCGCAGCGCCACGAGAATGATGTTACCTAATCTGTTTCTGTCAAAGATTCTGCCCTTGACACCACCTGAACTAAGAGCACCACCCGCCCCAGGCAATGAATCCTGCCCTAGGCCCCACCTACCCCATAAAGTTCCGTATTTAAGTGCATTTGGCAGAATGACCAAACATGCAGCCAATCTTATAAAACTGATATGTATTGCCTCAGGGGTAATCGGGGGGCACCAGTTATTTTCGGAAATGGCGTCGAATATTGAATAAAGTCAAGTGGTCACATGGGGAGCTGTTTTACTCTCGCCGAAAAACTACTTTAGCAGAACCAATTGGTTCTGCTAAAGTAGTTATTTGTATTGTATATAGCCGCCATTAATTCACTTGGAGAAATGAGCAGAAGACGTCTAAGAAAGTCAGAAGTCGACAGCGTGTTTTCACGTAACCTTTTTTTGTAAGAGTTCGGTTAACACTTGCGTGATCCTCGAGGGAGCTTAATTTCCTCGAGCGCAAGAAGGCAGTGCCCAGACCAATGCGCTCGCTCGTCCCCGTGTCTTTCTCAGCATTTTACACAATAAATGGAGTATAGACATTGCCTCCTGACTACGGCAAAAGAGACAACTTCTCTGGAACCTCGCTCCAGCGGCCACACAAATGATTATTTTGGGATACAAGTTTAACAAGGCCGAATTTGAGGAATGTACTTTGAAGTCGGGAGTTGTACTGTCCTCGGAAAGTACGAGAAAAAAAAAATACGCAGAGAATTAGTGAAGAAAGGTAAAAAACACAGGCGAGCTGGTGAATGGTATCCATAATAACCCTGAGACGAAGGAAAAATAAAAAAAAAAAACGGACAGTACAACGAAGTCTCTATGGGTTTTAGAGACTTCGTTGTACTGTCCGTTTTTTTTTTTATTTTTCCTTCGTCTCAGGGTTATTATGGATACGCAGAGAATGTACTTCAAGTAAAGTAAACATTTTCTTTTTGTGAAGTTTTTAAGTACAATCTACTAAAAATAGTTCTCAACATTAACCTTTGGGGGATCGGGAAAAAAACCAAAAACATCCCCCCCACCTCCTCCCCCCGGCGAGGGAGTCGCCAATTTTGATGGCGTTTCGCCGTTATCCCAACACCGGGCCGACTGGGAGTCAGGATGAGACCTTGGGCCGGAGCCACGCGGGAGGGAGTCCCAATTCTCCTCTGTTCCTCCTGCCCCCACCTGTGCTAGTTAGTTGTACTTAATTCGATTTCCACCAGTCTTCCAATCTCCTACTAGTTATGAAGGTGTACTTATCATCCATTCTTCCATTCTCATCTGCAAACCCCAGCGTTCCGGCTGAATCCGTCGCCCCCACCAGAAGGGCGGGAATAAGCCCTGTGCACCTCAACCATACGTGTGCTATTGTCTCGTCCGCGTATTCATTTATCGTGGGTAGCGTTATTTTGAGAGCGAAAGAGAATAGGGGAAAGGGCCACCGGCGCTTTCCCCCTTGCTGGGTCGTTAGAAAGAGGGGATAGTCCCGGATGAGAGGTTTCGTCGGTGTTGGGTAAATGCATTGCCCGAACTTCGTTCGCGCTTTCTTCTCTGTTTTAAACTCCCAAACTTAATTAGAGCCACGAGCTTGAATGGCGACAATCTCTAGGTCGTCGGGACACCCTTGCTCGGTCACAGGGTGCACGAATAACGACAGAAAGCTTCGAATACTGTCCAAGGATTTATGTAGCCTACACGGAATCCGACAAGTGCGGCTGCAATGTCTTTAAGCTCCATCGCTTTCCACACGACCCCGACCTTCGGCGGCAGTGGGTTGCGTCCATAAACCAAAAACACGTTTCCTCATCGTCATCCTCTCGATTGTGCTCGGAACATTTTGTGAATGGAGTGCGCACCGAACGCTGATACCGTCGATGAACATGGGGTACGCTCGCAAGGTGCGTGCAAGTTTTCTCGTGATAATTGCTGTTTCAGCTTGTAACATTTTGGAACTGAATTTATCTGAATATTGATATTTTGAAGAGGTGACACTTA